CAATCCGCGGCGGCGGCGGCGCAAGCTTCGGGGTGATCCTGGCGTACAAAATCGAACTGGTTGCCGTTCCGACGAAGGTGACGTATTTCCGAGTGGAGAAGACGGTGGAGCAGAACGGGACGGGGTGGTGATGGACTTCCAGAAGGCGGTTACCACCATGGACAGCCGCCTCTTCGTCCGCCTCCTCTTGCAGCCGAAAACCGTCAATAAGAAGCGGGGCATCAAAACCGTCAAAATCACGGCCATCGCCCTGTTCCTGGGGAGCACCGGCGATCTGGTAAGCGTGGCGAAGCAGGAATTGCCGTCTCTGGGACTCAATTCAACGAACTGCGTGGAAATGAGCTGTAGCTTCAGATCTTCTGGGTATGGAGTTAGAGTCAATTACCGGCAAACCGGGAACCAACCGGTAATGTAGACCTAATTGATTGATTTTGGAGACTTGGCGGATTCAATTGAAGGTTGTCGAAGTAGGAGGACTCAATTGAGGATTCGCCCATAGTACGAGGGTGTAATTGACAGTTTTCCCAATAAAGTACATCCATAGCCATGTTAAAACTCAAAACGTGCTAATAAGATTAGAACTTCCAAATAACTTATAGCAAAAATATATAATTTATAAAAATAAAACAACTTCTTATCAACCCAGTATAATTTCACGAATATAATTCAAACCCATTAATTTACTAGCTTGTATATTAATTTTGGGACACAATGACATATCAAGGCCATAATTACGTTAGCCATCTAACCTTAAGGCCATAATTACTAGCTTATTATGTATGTTTACTTAGAAGCTTCTAAGTAAACATACATAATAAGGTGGACTCACAAATAAAATTTGAAGACACATACATAATAATATGTCAAATCGTCAACACTTTAAATATTCATCAAAACATCATTTAAGTTGTGCCTTACGTGACTTCAAAATATAAAAATCATCAATAATAGAATATATTTTGACAAAATATCGTTCTATGTAGATCATCAACGAATGTTCAGGAAAATCATCTCCCATTTTGTTACGAAATGCCGTCTTCACGTGTTCATTGCTGAAAACGTTCTTTCTATTGTAGCAGTAGATGCAGGTAGGGTCAAAAATCAAAACAAAATGAATTAATCTTGTCAGCATAACGTAAACTTCTAATTTCTCAATCTTAGTCAAATATTAACATAACTTAATAAGTGTCAAAACTTGAGATGTTGAAACAATATCATGCTTGTAGTGAATCAACTCAAACTCAAGTGAGACAATGTTTCGATTAGTAAAATCTACAGGATAAAACTTTTGTGCAAATTTGCAAATATTCTCACTGTAAAATGAGCCGCAAGAGTACTTCGGAACCAAAGCAAGATTAAGTTGAAGAAATTCCATGGCTGTAACATTAAAGTGCATGCCTAACTTAGTCAAGGTAAAATCAATCGCTTCATTGAAGACACCAAAATGATAATGACTGATGGAGTATATGGGTCAAGACCCCATGACCCACATACTCAGAAGAATAAGAGGAGGCACAACGGTCACCCAGTGGGTCCTCCGTCGGCCAGATGGCCATCCATCGGCCAGAAAGACATCAACTCAGAATATGATCCAGAAGCCAGGAGAATCGAGGTGCCCCCGTCGGCCGGGTCTCCGTTGACCATGGCTCCGTCGGCCACAGAGAGCTCGCAGAGCCTGATTTCATACTTAGCCAATTCACATACTTTGTGATGGAGTATATTCCCGTATACCCCAGGGGTATCATAATCGCCGGTATAAGCATCACGGACCCATTCCAGAGTGCACGAAAAGACTAAGTCCACATCTATACCAACCCCGACCCCGACCAGCCAGGGTCGGGAACAAGCGCCAGTCAACAGAACAAGATAAGGACCGAGAAGTTGCCCGACCCTGACCTCGACCACCGAGGTCGGGAAAATACCAGGCCCAGGAATCAATCAAACTTGATCGGTTATGAGCCCGACCTCGAGACACCCGAGCTCGGCACCAAGTCTGACCCCGGGAGTCAAACACATGGTCAACAAGCGCCAGGCAGACAACTACCCCGAAGGCGGGAGCAGAGGACAAAGGGACAAGTCCTCTCATCACGAGCCCGAGCTCCCAGATATCGACCTCAGTAATCCCCAAGGTCTGAGTAAAGCATCATGGACTTAGACAAAATTCGCAAGGACTTGCCTCACAAGGAGATGTCGCCACGTCACCATCAACACCAGGGAATATTCCCGGTTACCCACGCGTAGCCACACGGGATCTCTGGCAGCAATTCTGTTAGAAGCAACCTCCAATCAGCCAGCTATTAAAGATTCTCTCTCCAATCAGCTTTACACGTGGCTGCTCCCCATCGAGTTAAGCTGTTAGTTTGTTAGAGTAGCTTTACACGTGTCCCTCTCCTATTAGTCTAGCATCTTTTTGCTTGGGCACCAAGTATTGACTTTTATCTCTTAGTATAAATATCACCTTCCAACTTGTGGAAAGGTATGCTTAATCTATCGCACTCTTGAGACTCATATACTGTTATTCGGCCGGACGAAGTACCTGTATTTTCCGATCAGTTCACTCTCCCTTTTACTCTCATTCTAGCTGGATTCCGGCCACCCCTGGTCAGATAATCCATCACTTTGTATTCGGCCCAATAGAGGACTCATTGTAATCGGGCCTCCCAAGCCCATAACTTGGGAGCCCAGCCCACATTTTCTCTATAAATACCCCCATTGGGAGTAGTTGTGAGGGTTGACAAATTCATTTATTGCAGTATTCATTGCACTTCTCTCTCTAGCTCTCACTTCTCTCTAAGAGGTTATAGTCTATCAATGACGTTCTATTGTAGGTCAGAAACGATAACGCCCAATCGTGTATGGATCATCTAAATTTGAAACATCAATATCATTTGAAGAGCAATAACTCTCCACTTATTTAAGAAATTCCTCCCAATCAGATGCCCTGAACTCTGAAAGGATAGTTTTAGTAGTACCAGCAAATGTAATAACACTCAAAATACCAAGAGTTTTTCTTTGATAAACCTGACAAAGAGCATCAATTATTCTTAGAAGTGTATGCATCAAGTGTAAGACAAACACGAATTCAAAGCTTGTCACTTTTCTGTAGGTCCCGAGAACTCAGCTTTAGATCATCTATTTGGAGAATTTCCAAACAAATGTTCAAACACTTTACAAGTTGCCGCATATATCTATCAAACTCTTTAAGAAGCTATAGTGAGGAACCGAGGATCCCAAACATTATACAGTGATATAGTATTCTTGGCCACATAATATTAAACAATTGCAGATTTGCACGTGTTTTTTATATGACAATATAGTTCTTTTTTAAATCCAAAATAGCAATACATTACTAGCTAGTACTTAAGCGTGGATCATGATAGATATCATTGCCATAAAGATCCAATTTGTGGAAAGTATTAACTATTGTTGAGTTTTGAAGTCACTGAATTGCTAACATCAACAATTTGTTATCATGAAAGCAAAACCAAATCACACCTAAAATAATTTAAAACTGAAAATGCATTATTAAACTTTCATTTTAAAAAAAGATGACACCTCATCTTTGAGAGTCCCTCCAGAATCGACCAGACAATAATCTGAGAGGATGTATATTGAACTTTGATTTCACACTGATGGAAAGAGAGTGAGACTCCATACCAAATCTTTGCTTGGAGTTGAACCCGAGATCTTTCCCTTGTGACACTTCCTTCTACCAGGGAGCTACGTCCCCCGGTTAACTTTCATTTTTTTAATGAGTCATACCAATTACCATGGGATGCAACACATGGAATTCCCGGTGAACCACCCATCCTAATATCATTTTCGCTCAGGTATGCTTCACTTAAAAGTTAAATATGATTTAAATATGATCTAGTGCATTAGTAATCGCATCCATTTGAACTTTTAAATAACTTTTTAACATAAAATATACTTCAAATAGCTTCTTAGCGAACCGGTAAATCCAAGAATTGATAGACATAAATTTAATAGCTTGAATATTCCTTTTTAGCCACACAAATTTGAATCCAGAGACCATAATTATGTTACCTCTAAGTAAACTGGAAGGTTGTAACTAGGGATGGACCCGGACCGGTCCGGTTCCGGTTCCAGGCCGGGCCTGTGCGGGCTTTTTTTGCAAAACCTTGGGCCCGAAACCGGCCCGGGTTGATACCGGGTCCGGGCCTAACCGGGCCGGGCCAGGCCTGGTTCAATGTCTAATTTCTTTTTTTTTGCTTTCTTGTTATCCCCCGACCCCCCCCCCCCCTCACCCAACCCCGCAAACCTCCCCAAAACACCCAGCTCTACCCTAGGAAAAGAAAAAAAATTGAAAAAACAAAAAAAAAACAAATGACCCGGGCCCGGCCCGAACCGCCCGGGCCGGTTCGCCCAAAACTGGGCCCAAGCTCGGCCCGCCCGACCCACCCAAACGGGCTAAAAGCCCGGAACCGGCCAACCGGTCCCAGTCCGGTCCGGGCCCGCACAGTAGCAGGCCGGGCCGGTTCCGGCATGGGCCAGCCCGGTTGAATCCATCCCTAGTTGTAACATGTAGAGCAGAGTAGCGGTTCATCGAGTCAAAGCATCAGACATATGGTTTATTATGATGAGGTGAATAAATTGTTAGGACATCCGAGTTTCTTACATCACCAAACAATTGTCGATTTACAACGGTTTAATATTAACTAACCCCAAAATCTTTTAAGAATAGGGCTTGGATGATGTTGAAATGGTTTAACATCCATTTGATGAATAAACTAATTCAAAATTCTATTTGCTTATTATGACATTATGTACATTGAGTATTGATTTCACAAGGCACCCTATTCATTTACACCTATATACAGTTATACACACTTTATCCGTTTTCAATCTTTATTCCCTTTGTTGTCCATCTTTAAACCATCTTCTCTTATTTTAATGGAAGCAGAGGGAGAAGCTACAATTCAACCATTCTATCCATATAATGTTTGACAAACCAATGCTAAAAATTAAAGCGTGGCGATTGAAAAATGTTTCTTGCATCAGATCTGCATCAGATTTGCATGCGGAGAATTATTTATGCCAGACTTATATTACAAAATCAATTCAAATCGCAAACTGTGCTAACTCATTATTGTACCACATTTTGACGATCGAAGGCAAAAACGGCAGATCTATGCCAGACTTATATTACAAAATCAATTCAAATCGCAAACTGTGCTAACTCATTATTGTACCACATTTTGACGATCGAAGGCAAAAACGGCAGATCTAGGCTCAAACGAAGTGAATATTACCGAGTATTGTTCTTCGAATCAGAGGTTGAGATATTATTAGCGAATAACTCATATATAGAATTCACCTGTTTGCAAGCCCACATTTGGCCCTATCACAAATTCACAATTCCCACATCTAGGCAAGAATTCCAAGAAATGCGAAGAACTACAACATAAAAGTAGGAATTCTAAGGGAAGAAGAGAATTTGAACATAGTTTGCAGAATAAGGAAGAAGAGGAGAGATCAATACAAGTCCATGCGCACGTATTTATGCATGGTTAGATCAAAAGCTCAAATAACCGAATAGCTAACTAACGGTTATAGCTAACTACTTGAGTGATCACGTGTGTGCATGCATGGCTACTTAACGTGGAGTTGCAGCTATTATAGACATCTGACGTGGCCAAAGCATCTAGACTCATAACACAAGCACAACATATACACTACTTCGGACACAATTTTGGTTGAAATGACATGTACAATTTAAAAGTTCATAGCCCTGCAAAATTGATAGAAAAAGAGGCATTTCTAGCCCCAGGAAAAATGAATAAATATCTTTTTAGTAGGCTGAGAACACAAGTATTTTTTCAAGTCTATCAGCATCTGCTTTCTTCTTGCAATCATGCCTAGCAGAGAATTGAAAAAAATAATATATAGTGATCTTTGATGTGTTAATTGATCACCAAGTAGAATGAATCCAATAAAAAGATACATACATTTGAGCACCAGATGTCAGTCTCACTAAAACAAGTAAAAAATAATATATATAGTGATCTTTGCTGTGTTAATTGATCACCAAGTAGAATGAATCCAATAAAAAGATACATACATTTGAGCACCAGATGTCAGTCTCACTAAAACAAGTAAAAAATAATATATAGTGATCTTTGCTGTGTTAATTGATCACCAAGTAGAATGAATCCAATAAAAAGATACATACATTTGAGCACCAGATGTCAGTCTCACTAAAACAAGTAAAGCATATAATACTAGCCTGGGCGCCAGGCTTCCCTTGACTGCCTATTTTTTCTTCTTATAACTTTAACCCTTCTCAATTCTGCTTATCCTCCAACTACCTCACCTGGACGCTAAGCCTAGCACTTTTTTAGAACACATACTACTGAAACGTTTCTACAGAGAAATAAGTAGCCTAAGCTTAACACGAACAAAAAAAGAAGCCTAAACCTAATGAGAATACAGAACCATTTATAATTTATAATACTACTAAAACAAGGGTTGCTATGATTTTAAATTACTACTCCCTCTCTCCTAAAAAAGTTCTTATTATAGTTTCTCACCCATTTCAACCCAAATCTCAACCACATTTTACTTTCACCCAGACTTCTTAATAGGCATGCCGAGTTAAAATCAGAAAATAATTGCAGGATGGAGAGAAAACTTTCTATACTTTTAATGTTATATAATACAACCAAAGCATTGGCTTTACCTGTGTAGGAGTCTTAGGTTGAGGGAGATTGACTAACCGCTCCATTGTTTGCAGCTGGTCGTAGGGTGCAATCTGCAGGATAAGAACAGCATAACACACAGGCTTCCTTAACAACTATTGAATGACATAAAAAGCTGTTATCTTGGCCAAAACCCAAGGATCTAGATCAAAAATATATGAGGCGCTTTTATTCAAAGCACCTGGCAAAATCCATCCGGCCAGGTTATTGATACAGCATAGTTCCCCATAGGTCGGATTTCTTCAGGCTCAATGTCCTCTGGTATATCAGTGTACTCCAGCTTCTGCTCCCCTGTCCATTCATCCTATTCCAATCGCAATAAAACACCATATAAGAAAGTTATAAGAGGGAACACAACCGTAAACCATTGATTTGGAATACCAAACAGAAAATAACCATGACCAATATGCAGCTACCAGAAATACTTATAAAAAACCTTGTGTTTGTCTGTATTTGTTTATGGAGAAATCCACATTGAATAACTATGAGGATATTTATAGCTTTACCACTCAGTAGCTCAAGAAGAGAAAACAAGGGTCAACCACAAGCCCTTCTTTGGTTGGAGGACCTTAGGGATAATAGAGTGGAGAGATCAAATGCTTTGAATATATTTCCACATATGAAACTGGTTTACAAGGCCGCTATTTATACACATCCTATATAAGGTAAATACTAATACTATATTAAATGACAAAGATATGTAACGGCTAAATATGCAAATCATTTCTTTACTTCAATACGCCCCCACAAGCCAGGTATTCTGTCACAAGAATCCTGAGCTTGTCCTTAAGAAGAATGAAGCGTTGTCGGGGAAGCGGTTTGGTGAGGGCATCAGCTATCTGATCAGAGGATGGGATATGATGAACTTGAAGAAGTCCACGTTGAACCTGCTGCCGAACAAAATGAAAGTCAATAGCTACATGTTTGGGTCGGCGTTGGTAAGCAATAATTTGTGGTGGTGTGGGTTTAGGGAGGGGAGAAGGTTGTATATCAGTGTGGGTGGAGGTAGTGGGTGACATGTCAAGAGCCAATCGTTGAGCCGAGGTATGAGTAGGAGGAGACGCCCCTGCGACCAGAGTACCTGAAAAGGGAAGATAAGACATAGAAGGTTGAAGCCAATGATCGACTTCAGAAGTGATATTTGAGACGGGTGGTGAGGATGTAGAAAAAGGGAAGACTGATTCGTCAAACACAACATGCCTGCTGACAAAGATACGGTTAGTGTTCAGATCAAGACAACGATAGGCACTTTGTTGGTCACAATACCCCATGAAAACACATGGTTTAGAGCGTGGTTCTAATTTATGAGTGGTATAAGGACGTAACCAAGGGAAACATTGGCACCCAAAAACAACAAGTTTAGTATAATTAGGAGATCGTTGAAAGAGTTTTTCATATGGAGTGCAGAAGTTAAGAGAGGGCGGGTTGTCTATTAATAAGATAAACTGCTGTAAGAAAGGCATAGGACCAATATTTAAGAGGCATGGACGCATGGTGAAGTAAGGGTGATACCAGTTCCCACAATGTGACAATGCCGACGTTCAACAAAGCCATTGTGTTATGGAGTGTAGGGGGCGCAAATAAATGAGAAATACCACATGTGTTTAGGAATTTCCCTAAGGTTATGTATTCGCCTCCCCCATCAGAATAAATTGTTATAATTGGGCGTTGGAAAAAGTTTTCAACAATCTTTTTAAACTGTTGAAAGAGCGGAGTGACCTCACTTTTATGAGTTATAGGATAAAACCAGATATATTTGGTATAATGATCAACAAAGATAACATAGTAACGAAAGCCATTAACAGAAGTAACGCGAGCGGGACCCCAAACATCTGTATAGATTAAATCGAGAGGTCCAAAGCTCAAAAGAGATGATTTTGCAAATGGCAGCTTATGGCTTTTATTACTAGCACACGAGACACATAGAGAATTATTTGTAGTAACATCGGGAAAAGAAATACCTAAGGAAGACAGAATTTTTTTAGTGATAGGGAAGGCAGGATGTCCTAAACGACAATGCCAATTATTAAGGGAATATTTTTGTGTGATGTGAGGCTGTGAGCAGACGGAGATGGAGGGGGTGCATCTGGCAAGCTGTAGACGTCTCCTTTATTCATACCCCGTAACAAAATTGCTCCTGTTCGCCGGTCCTTACTAAGACAAAAGGAAGAATGAAATTCAATTAGTACATCATTATCGCGACATAATTTGGTGACAGAAATTAAATTGGTATGAATAGAAGGGACAAAATGGGTATTAGGTAGAGAAAGAGAGTGAAGGGTCATATGCCCAACTTGTGCTATCGCAAGATCTTTACCATTACCAATAACGAGAGAATCTGTGCCAGTATAATCGGATGCCAAGGTAAGATTATTCATGTTGTTGGTGACATGATTGGTTGCTCCAGAATGAAGTAGCCAACCATTGTGTCGAGTGACAGCTTTATTAAATCGGGGAGGGTAAGCTTGTTGTTCAAACCGATGCCAACAGTTGAGAGCAGAATGGTTTGGTTTCCCACAAATTTGACATGTAACATTTGCCCCAAAATTACCATTCCCCGGGGTGTTTCGTGCTGCCTGGTTGCTAGGAGGACCCCAAAATGATTATTTCCACGTCGGTTGGGACTGTAATGAGTATTGGGTCGTTGGTTTCTGGACTGGTTTCGATTAGAATTATGGCCCGGATAATTAGTGCGATTGGGCTGCTGTTAAAATTGGGCAAGTGGTCCTGGGCCCAAAATTGACGGGGTTGGATCTCCTCTGCGGGCCGCAAGTGCGACCGACTCCCCAGCAAGTATTTGACGAGGTTGGTCTTCTGCAACTCTGGCAGTAGTATTAGTGGTGACCACAATCACAGAAGAGTCGAGAGCTTCCTTCCGTCATAGAGTTGCTTCGAAACCAGTGAACAGAGTATAGATGTTGCCGAAGCTGTTATCTCTACAGGTTCGAATAGAGTTTGTGAAGGACTCAAACCCAAGTCGGAGTCCCTCCATGGCTTGAATGACGAAGTCGTCATCATCAACAGGGCGGCCAGCCTTAGCTAATTCATCAGTGAGGGTACGGAGATGATGGAGATACTCGCCCACTGCCTTAGATCCTTGTCGAGTATTGCGGAAGACATCCTTCATATTTCGGATTTGAGCTGCTGAACGGGTTCCGTAAAGTTGCTCAAGGGTTTTCCACACCGCAGCAGAGGTACGTGCGGATCCGACCAATGGTTTGCACGCCGAGCTCAGGGAGGAGACAAGAGCATGTCGGAGGAGACGGTCTTGACGATTCCACCGGAGATGGCCTGCAGCGTCACTGGTAGGTGGCCAAACAGCACCATCACTGATGTACTGGTCGAGATGAGAGCCAACCAAGAGGTCAAGCACTTGGTCACGCCATATGAGGTAATTCGTCCCTTCAAGTTTTTCTGGGAAGTGGCTGGGGTTGAGAATGATTAAACCATCTGGAGTGAGGGGGTTGATGACTGTGGTAGAGGGAGTTGTAGAAGAAATGGCAGGCTGCCCGTCTGGGGGATTTCTGAGAAGGGAGATGGCTGGTTAGAGCTCGTGAGGCTCTGATACCATAATAGTGGAGAGATCAAATGTTTTGAATATATTTCCACATATGAAACTGGTTTACAAGGCTGCTATTTATACACATCCTAATCATGTATATAATGTAAATAATAATACTATATTAAATGACAAAGATATGTAACGGCTAAATAGAATATTATGTTTTAAATGCAAATCATTTCTTTCCTTCAATAAGGGAAAGTGGATGAGTGATGTGTCTGTCTTTGGTTGGGGGAGGAAAGAAAAAAGCTATCAACTTTTCCAAACACCTCATATCTCACTCCCCAATTTAGGGATTTTAGATTGTTTTTTTTTCCTTTGATTTTCTTTTTAACTTTAAAATGAAAGTTGCTCTGCATATACTTCCTCCGTTCTTTAATTCTTGCTATATTGTGATTTTTGCACTATTCACAGACCATACTTTGACCACGATATTCTACTAATATACATAATCAAATTATTACGTATAAAATGTTATTGAATTCCTATCAATGTTAATTTCCAAAATATCAACCTTTTATAATGTTTACTAATACATAATTACAGTCAAAGTTGTGCGTTGGCAAACGTGAAAGTCAAACTGTTTCAAAAATTAAAGAACGGAGGATAGTACATCAGTATGTTTATTAATTGCAACAAAATGTATATCAAGTATAATACTTTTACATATCTTTGTAAAATATGGATTACAAACTTTTCAATTTTCATCACTCCATTGAACCAAACATATTACTACCCCGTCCTCATATTATCTTCAGGTTTTGACTTGGTATGCTTATTAAGCACGTGTTTGGATCTACTTCTTAAACTGCTTCTGCTCCTTCAGGGTGCTACAAATTGCTCCTAGAAGCAGTTTTTTAGATGTTGGGTGAGACCGACTTCTCAAAAACTGGTTCTGATTCTGCTTCTGCTTTTAAAAAAGAAGCAGAAGCAGATTCCATTCCAAACACCCTCTAAGAAGACAACTTATGTAGATCTTTGTGTTCAAGTTGACTTGCTTTAGAGGTTGAAGATGGAAAATCATAAGCTAAAAGGGACTTCTTTACATACCACTCTTTTAGCAGATTGATCATTTCTTCTTACAATTGCAGGGTGCAAATAGAAGTCCTTGTCAGATTGGGGCACTCTCACTCGTATTGCCTTAATAGATTTCTCATAAGTTACTGCAGTGGAGACTAGACCAAAACATAGAAACAAAAGCACAGGTTAATAATCTACAATCAATTCATAATCTTTAGTTCCCTTTTTCATTAAGTTTTAACAAAAAAACAACAGAATGGTATTTTCCCAGGTAAAACTGAACATAAGAATACAACTTTCCAATTTTGATGCTTCCGTAAAACTTCCCAGGATCCAAACATAATTCAAGGGAGAAAACAGAAAGAAAAGAAAAGAAATAAGATCACCTTGTTGACGGATTTTGGCACATTGTTGTACTACACATAACCCCAACTCTTGGAATGTTTGGGAAACATCTCCTTGAGGATTAGAAACGACCTCAGGCATTCCACTGTCTCCAGAAGCAGAGAGCTTTTAATATTCAGGAGAACAAGTAATTATTTATTAATCCTAATTAACTATGGAGACATAAAGACAATAACCTCATCTAAGGGGGAATGTACCTATGTACATCATACAAGCATGGATCATAGACAATATGACTTTGCAATACCTAATGTTCAATCAGTTAACAGTAGAACAGGGACTTACTGTTGGTGTAATAGGAAGATCAAACAAATGTGGGATCCCAAATTGCTGGACAACCTGTGAAAAGATGATATGATATACTAAAACTCTGAACAATAATAGCTGTAAAAAGATGAGTATAGGTAAGGTTTTGATAAATGACATTCTTAAGGCATATCATTATAATTTTTTATTTGAACTGTTAAATTGATATCCAAACAATCATATCACTGCTCTGGTCGGTCTTGTAGAAATATGACTAGATACTATACACTGAACTCTGCAGCGATGTGGTTTACCACTTTACCATTCATGGCAGAAAAAGACTAGGCATAGAGATTTTAAGCGTATCTGTTGTGATAAATAAGGGTTGGGCTTTGGTACCAGAGAAATGATGAAATACTTCTTCAAGTATATGACTTTCAGCTTAAAACTTTATAATTTATAAAGACTGCTCTGTAGTGCACTAGTCCATTGCTTATATAGAGATGTAACAGACTAACAGGCCTCATCTCAATAGGAATAGGAATCTGAACCCTAAACCTAATGCAAGTATAAAACTATAAATTAATACTAAAACTGGGTTACTATATTTCTATTATAAGTTGATAATTATTTTTTATATTCCAAAATATTTTTTGTACCGTAATCTAAAAACATGCTATTTACTAGCTAGGAGACCAAGCAACAACGACATGGATAAGGAGAAGAGCGCACCTGAACACCTGAACCTTTACCAAATGGGTAATGGGATTTTCCATCAACAACAAAGTGACACATATTCTCGACTACAGCAACACAAGGCACCTAAACATCAAATGGAAAGTGGCAAAAGTTTGAGAATTGTACAATAGAATTTGTGTTTAAATAAAAAAGATGGGTAATGTGAAACAGGCCTTAAGCTTAGAAAACATGCGAACTCCCTTAGCAACATCTACAAATGCCAACTTTTGTGGTGTGGTAACAATAACCGCAGCAGTCAATGGAACGACCTATTCACCACATCCAATCACAAGTTTTTTTAATCTGAAGTGTCCAACACCAAGGATGCTGAGCTACTTAGGTTCGCTAGGAACCCAGAATATGCTATGGAAAGAAGACATGAAGGAAAATCTGGAAAGAAATAGTTTGGGAGAAAACATAAATTGGATCGCGCCCAAAAAACGATTTGAGGCATTTTCTCAAAACTCATATCATATACTCCCTCCGTCCCACAAAACTTGGCCAAATTGACTTTTCTTGGTCAGTGATAATAAACTTTGAACAATGACTTTAGCTATTACGTAGTATATTTTTGAAAATTTATAAATTTTATACTTCTACAAAAATATTTTTAACAAAGAACATTGTGATATAATTTTTCAAAAGTATTTTGTGAGACGAGGAAGTATGTATATCTATTATATAGAGACTAGTAAATCTAAATATATGTAAAACAATTAAAAAAAGGTAATCAAATTTGGTTTTCTTTCCTTACCATTTTCTAGGATCAAACATAACCCTAACAAGCTATCAGAAACATGAGTTAGCAGAGTATGAGCAAACCTGGCACAATGTGAGTTGAATATCACCAGTTCCAGGAGGCATGTCAATAACAAGGTAGTCCAGTTCTCCCCTGCATAAATGAAATGAGTTCTATTTACAATGATGCAAGTAAAACTCAACAAGCTCTGAAAAGCAAGTAAATTGAGTTTAAGATACTAATGAACAATAAACTGTAAATAAAAAACTTAAATACTTTGCCTTAGTCTTGCTCATAAGAGGGGATAAGAAGAAAATAAAAGAGTTTAGAAAGATTTTATGTTTGGCTCAATGGATAAGTGATGAAGAATAATAAGATTAGACAAATCTAAAAAAAGCATTTCAAATGATTTTTGTTGAAATAAAAAATATAAAAGCCTATATGTATAACAACAATAATGTAGAACAATTTTGTTAAAAATGTGAAAGAGAAATTAGTAAAGAAACTCCTCCGAAACACCCCAAATTGGAAAAATATGATGAATTTGGAGGAATCATCTGCTACCGTCCCTTCTCCTCAAAGTCCTCTAACAAAACAAGACCTTAATGGGGACCCCAAACTAATCCATTGTAAACAGAAAGTACATCATAATACCATTCAGTAGTAGTAAGTAGTTGGTTGATGACCCCAGACACCATTGGACCTCGCATTATCGCACGCCCTTGTCCAGCAAAACCAAAAGACACTAACTTGACACCCAAGTATTCTGTTGGAATAATGCTTCTCTTCTCCGGGTTCTAACAGTTCCTTAAATAGTATTTATTATATTTCTGCCCGAGCTGCATGTATGCATTTGAGGACTAAGGAGCAAAACTTACCATTTCCAGAAGCCGGTTTTCTGGGGAAACCATCATTGGCAAACTAGGCCCATACACATCAGCATCAAAGATTCCAACTCGAGCTCCCATACCCGCCAAAGTATATGCGAGGTTGACGGCAACTGTTGATTTTCCCACCCCTCCCTAGAGATTTTTACATCAAATAATGCAGGATTAAAGATGTTTAAAAAATACTCTCTCTTAATAGGCAAGTACAGGACAGAAGCTTCAAGATGTTCCGCAGTTAAAATTTCAAATAATTTTTTTTTGTAACTAAATTTACATGGCAAATCATTTTCTCACAACCTTTTTTTAGAATAGCCTTAGATAGGAATCATTGGAAGAAGTGAAACAAACATCATAGCATTGGTTTCCTTTTGTTTCATGAAAACATGTTAGAGATGAAGCAACATAGGAAAGTTCAAAACCAGTCTTGAACACTCTTATCAGTTTAAGCCCTGTTTGGTAACCAGTACTGGCTTATTCTGTTTATTCTGCACAATAAGCAGATAAGTAATATAGCTGAAATGGGTGTTATTAAACACTTCTTGTTCATAAAACTCAGTCTATTCGTCCATTTCATCCAAAGAAAGATGTGCAGTGTGTTTACCTTGCAACTTGAGATTGCGACTATATTTGATATTTTTTGCAGACCGGATGGAAGCTGTCCAGTGAAAGCAGATCTTACAGGTTGGGTTGACATTTCCACATTCACCTTTTTAACCCAGGGGAGTGCAGCAACCACCTCATTAGCCCTCTGCTCAAACTGCAGAATTAGACCTCTCAGTTTCTTTTTGTACATAATAATGACCCAACCCAAAAAGTATTTTCTTACAGGAATATAAAATGAAGAGCTATAATAATCTAAGGCTCCGTTTGGTAACCATAATCAGCGGCTTATTCTGCAGAATAAGTGACTGCTGGCTTACTTATTTGGACGAAATAGTTGTCATCAAACATCTCCTCCAAATAATTCAGCTTTTCAGCCATTTAAGCCAAATAATTGAATAAATCTTGCCAAACGAACCCTATGGTTCACTGTGGATGTACAATGAACCAATATTCACCAGAATAGAAAACTAAAGTTATGTACCACTTGATACAACACATCAATTCTTGATCAAACAACAGTGTTTGTGTTTCATTTACCATGTCCTTGACCGGACATGCTGGAGTCGTAAGCTCTAGCCGAAAGTTAACCTGCAACTCAGTAATGTCAGAAAATAATTTAAAGGCTATAAATAGGATATGGATCAAAATTAGTATGTGCTTATGATAACCTCTCCAAGAACCTCATCAACATGGAGGTCCTTCACAAACCCACATGAGACTATATCAGTTCCAAAATCTGGATCAATTATCTGTGTAAGGGCTTTTAATACTTTGTCCTCATAAGTTTGATTGAATACTGTCAAAGCACTACCTGCAACTCGAGAACATGTACACTTGCATGTATCAATTACTTAGAATATATAGCTATGTCAGGTTGTTAGGAACGCGGATAATGGTAGGTGAAGGGAAAATATGCTCAGCAAATTAGTTTTTTTAATTATTATTTGGTTTGATCATGGAAAATACTAGTATGAAGGAAAACCGAATTCTAAAATATTAATTAGACTACAGCTTTTTAAAATTTACTTCAATAAAGGCTTTTAGTATTTATGTGATACAAATATATTTATTTACATTGCATTTGAACAAATATCTGAAATTTAAATATTAACTTTGAACCAATTCTTCTTTCCCTCAATATTTCTTTCCTTCCAAAGTTCAGCTCAATGTTCCTTCCAATATTTTTGAGCAATTTCCAGGTCTCAAATGGATCCAGAGTGTGAAAGAAGAAAAACAAGAAAATTTTGTGTGCTGTCTTTAATGTTTAAATATAAAAAAGATATTATTTTGCACATTTAGACTTTCGGGTATGAGTATGACCACACTTTATCCCCGTTGCTCTCTTCACAGTCCACACTCTACTTTAAGCTATAAATCCAAAATCTTGGCAACAATTTAGTGCATATATTTGGCACACTATACTTGGATCTCACCAAGGAATTCGTGCCCACCCTTATTGAGGATGCACATATTAGTGTTTCAAGAAATTTAAACAATAAAAACAGGTCACACTACCTAATCAGGAACACAAACTGCATGGTTCAGCTAGAAAATGGGGGGTTTCTCATAGTGAAAAAGAAAAAAAAATCTGGGAGGAAAGAAGAAACCTGCCTTTCAAACAACCAACTTTAGAGGTCAAAAAATTTGAATGTGTCGAAGGTACACCTAAAGGCCTCGAGTTTCTTTGAGGCAGGACAGGGCAATTACGAGAGTCACTTGCTTTGTGCTGTGAAGAAAAGTAAAAGGTAAGTGTAGCAGAAGAAGGAAACTGAAGAAGTGGCATTTCCTCCAATATCTGTTACTGCTTGGTACGAGACTTTGACGTTGAGCAAACAACAAACTGAGAAAGTGAATAATAATCAGTATGTTTCAGAGGGATGTTTTGTGAACCTCTCGTTTGGATCCCAGGTAGAATGTAAAAGATAGGATTCTTAGCCATGGTTTTGTTTTGTTGGTTGAACTAGTCCCTCCATTCAGGAGGGCAATACTTCAGGCACCTCCTGGATTACTATGCGCACCCCTTTTGACTAAAATGTGACTTGTTTAGTTTTTCTGTTAGAAAAAGAATAATCATCATGATTACATATTATTTGTATGTGTAATTTAAATATCTAATCTTTTCAAAAATAGTTTTTACATTACATATTATTTCTTTCAACAATGTAAATTTATTGTGTTAATTGCATAATTTAAAATATTATAGCATTTGTGAAGATATAAGTAACATTCTAAACTTCCATTGTGAATAAAAAATATTACATACTCTCAACCTATATATAATTACAACGCTTAATAATTAACATAAAAAAATTAAATTATGAAATTAATACCATAAATTTACGTTTTTGAAAAAAATAACATATGACCATGGTGCTAGAAAACTTTTTATACAAAGTTTGAGGTTTTTAAAATGCGTATGCAAGTTTGGAATGGTAACCTCACACTCCTTCAAAGTTTGGGGTATTTGAATTATTTTTCCCTTTTTGTTATAATAAAGTCAATCCGCTTGGTATACTACGTATGTAGTTTGCAATAGTATATACGGACGGAGTATAAAGCTAGGAGAGTTGCTATGCGCATCAGTAACTTCATTGGTTAGAGGCGTCGTGAGGACTTTGGATGCCCTAGACTAAAAAAAATTATCATATTCAAATCATATGAAAAAACATATTCAAATTGCAGATATAATGTGAACGTCCAAAGGAAAAATTCATGAAAGAGAATTTCACTAGTTATCTCAACTTATTCTTTCTTTTTGTACTAAAATATAATACAAAAATCATAAGCAATAAATTAACAAAAACCAAGAATCTATAAATAAAAATGACAAATCAATGAAAATAAATAATTTAGTAATACCAATACATCACATTAATTATTTCATGCCTAGATCATACGACGTATAATCTAATCCATATAATACCAATTTGTTTCACTGTAATCACACTAAAACATTTGCAGTACTAAAAAGTTAAAATCCTTATTACCTTATTTAGACATCTACACGTGACACGTTGCTGCCACCTGGATGCGTAGAAGATATTTTTCCTATTCCAATTTCCAATTGTTAAGTAATTATAAATAATACTAATAGTAATAACTTTGATTTTGGAGGACACTTGGCATGTGAGGCCCAAGGTTGTTGTGTGGGCTAACTCCCCCAAAAGCCTCCTCTGATGGTTAGACCCATCTCTCATCTTCCTTAATTAAAAGTCTCTTTGATAACACTGAAATTGATTGAATCGGCTGATTAAGCTGAAATTTATGAAGTTTTGATTCAAGTGACTGGATTGACTGATTCTGCTGATTTATAAAAAAAATATACTTAAAATATTTTTTATTAATAAAATAAAGAAAAAATTATATGAAAAATAGCTAAGATAATCATCTACAGTAACTTCAACCAATACAGCCAGAAAAGTAACTTCAACCTTACTTTTTCGTATTATTACACAATTCAGCCCGCGAAATCATAAGTTACGTGTTTCGTGAAAAAGTTGGCTGATAAGCCGAAAAACAAGGTCACCAAGCGAGCTCTAATATTACCTTCTTGAATGGTTCACACTTTTTTTGTATATCCTTCTAAACCTATTATATTATCCGCTCCAGTTAATGTCAACATCCTTGATTGAGATGAGACTCGAACTTGTGACATCCTCTTTGAGATATTAACAATAATGTCATCAGACAACAAGCTATTTGGTCATACACTAGGATCAATTGAATGACTTCAAACTTCAAAGTTGGTTCTCAATCCAATAGTTTGCTGCCACATGTCAAATATTCTTTTTATAAAATGATAACTTTTTCATTTTTTATTTTATCAAAATATATCAAATTAAATATTTTTTCTTGATCTTTAACATGACACCAATATTGCATATGTATGATTTTGAAATATATATTATAGTTTGGTCTATTTTAGTCTAGTCTGGTAAAAGTCTGATAGATGTACATTTTACTATTGTTTATTCTTATTTGTGATATCCTAGTCTGTGTAAATATATTATGAGACTGAAATCGGTCCAACTAAGTTTGGTCTGACATGAGACTCAAAGCTGTCCAATTAAAAATATTTTGATGCCTTTTACATTTGTGACCGTAGATATACATATTAAATTGGGAGGAACTCGTTTATGAGTAGACAATAGATGTCACTTTTTAGAAAATTTCAAAATAAATCATATTTTTGTCATTTGAATTTATTTTAGTAATATTCCTGAAAAAAGCTTATAAACTAATGTCTTCTCGATTAATACTTTAGTAAAATGCAAATTTGCAGCCCTTCAACTAGAAACAAATATGATTTTTTTTGTAATTTTACACATGAAATATTGGTTTCATATTAAAAATCATTAAAAATTATTTTATTTAATATAGAGAAAATTATTTCTCATATGACTAAAAGATTATCTATTTCCCAATCTATGACCTAATCTTTTTTTTCCTAATTTGGTGGGAGAGTGATATGCCAACCACGTTCCATATGCATTAGGGGAAACTTTCTAATGCTTTTTTTGCAGTTATGATGCTCACCGTTAGTTATTTTTGGTCATATTTTGATCAATTAAGTTTTTTAGTCATATAATGAGAAATGTTCTCTCTTTTAGTAATATTAGGGTAAATTTCCCTTTAATATATTGTTTATGAAAAACAGAGTAGAAGTGCAAAAGTTGTACGAACTACAAAGTAGCATTTTATTAAAATAAACGTATTAAGTGTTTGCCCATGGATCGAGAATTCTTAGGGGCTAAAGTCTCATAAGCGAATGATGTTGTATGGAATTAAATCAAATATGGAGTTATCAATATGATTAATAAATCAAGGAGGACATTTTTGTCCGATCATGAAAGAAATGAGGTGCGCCCAACACTTCTTGGGGTGCGCCAAGGAGGGGCGATCCCGGAAACAACTTCCCAACTTGGAGATAAATTTTACGTAGTACTTTTTTTACACTATTTCAACACTTTTTCAATACTGTTTTGATGTAGATAATTTGCCAAATAGGGAAGAAGAAGTTAATTTTGGGACGGTTCAAAAAGGAAAGGTGGAAGTTGTTTCTCAGATGGAGGGATACAACATTGTTGAGTAGCAACAATATGTTTGTGTATTCCCCTTTTTAATTCTAGATTATAGTATCAATTCTACAATTAGTTTAACTTTGACAATTTTTTATGCATGATTATTGTTTTTCGTCCATATGTGATTCTTCTATCGATATTTTCGGGGATTATGGAGAGACGGCAGAAAATTGGACTGAAGGATCACAAATAATCAATAAACATTAGTTAGAGATCAAATGTGAAATTGACATAAACTCATAGGAAAAGTGAAATTAATTCTTATTTTTCTCTATACCCACCGTTTTAAAAAGTGCCAAAAGGCGGAATCTAGGAGCACCAAGGTGTGTGCTGTCGAAAAGCGCCCGCATAGTAGCAAGGCATAGAAAAACCGAAAACTAAATCAAATTAAACCGAACCGCTAAAAACCAAAATAGAATGTAAAAAATGAACAGAAGTTGTTTGGTTCAGTTTTGGTTTTTTTCTTTCAAAATCGAACCGAGCCAAATAATCCGAAGTAATTAAAATATGAAATATTATTTGTTAATTGTTAAGCATTAATCCTAATACCATCACTAGTCTTTGGTTTTCTTGTGTTAAGGAATTAGTTTTTGTGTTATGTTTAACTTAGTTTAATCTATAAATGCATTTATACATTTATTGCATGCAATAATGTAGTTATATTGATCTATAATGCCTTTCATGTATGTATGTTGTAATTTGTTGCTTGATGATGATGTTATTAATGGTTATAACTAGTAATTAACTTATATTTCTATGTAACTTAAAATTTAGATATTGATAAAACAAATAAATATCCATCTCCACTATATCACATATGTCATATATATTTATGAACATTTTTTAAGCTACTCACAAACAATGTAAATTAAAAATATATACACTTATATCTCTCCCGCATACTCATATAATTTAAGACATGTTTATTTCTTCTCATTTTGTTATTTTATTTATTCTAGGAATTTTGCATTTTTATGTTATACAAAGTATATATGTATGATCCCTCCAACTATTATATCATTTTAAATCAAATGATAGTTTTTTAATAAACAAAATTGAAAAAATTGAAATAGAACCGAAATAAAATGTACCAATCAAACCGTGGTTTCAAGTTTTGAAAAGTAAACAGAACCAAAACCGAACCGAACTTGTTACTTTGGTTCTTTATTTGGTTTTTGGTCAAAACCAAACCAAAAGAATCACACTCGCCCCTAAAGTCTAGACGCAAAAGGTGACACCAAAGCGAGAAATGACTAAAACTTTTTAATTAAGTTATTTTTTGCATACAAAAGGTTGATTTCAATTTTTTTATAACATGTTATATATATGATCTAATACGTATTACGTAGTAGTGAAAAGCAACAATATATGGAGTATCATTTTATATTTGCATTCTAATACATTTAAAAATTACATATATTGAATAAGAAAAAATTAGCTTGAATGTTGTATAATTCTCCGTATTTTTTGAAAATTTACTCTTTCATCAAATATCATCACAATGTCTTTTCATGCCTAAGTTGCGCTTAATCTCGTTCAGGCTTCATCTATTCTCGCATAGGACAATTATGATGAATTTTGATAAATATTAATTGAGAATTTAGAGAGGGTTCGGTACGGAGAAAAACTTAGTAACGACACTTTTATATTTATCCGAACTCGATTATGAATTACTCTTAATACATACTTCATTATGAAATGTAGGGGAAATGAAAGAATATGCTTTTAACTATATTTGAGAAAATATACATCTTTCAACAGCTTTATACCTCAGTCCTCAAACAAACGAAAAACCATTCCTTTTCTTTTTCTACATCCAGTCTAAGGTCACATGGCAGCCCAAGATGATTTTTTTAGTCTATTGTTGAAAATGCTCTAACATTTGTATTGCGCTCTAGTGTTTGTTATGTACTTCATATAATATATTAAGTTGAGCGTTTATTTATCGCGTTTTTATGTGAGTTGTGACCCCTATTTTGAATACAAAGTATGGAACTACCGATAAATTATTAAGACTTGGGATAATTTACATTTTAAAAGCTAATTATATTTATTACTACTTTCATATTTTTTTCATGTTGATGGAATATTGATTGGGTACGTAGCATTAACTGTTATCCTTGGACAGTATATCACTTGATAGGTTATTTGTTGATTTATTGATAATATTTTACATTCTACATTTATGTCATTTGAAAGAACACAAAAATACCTTCAGTTGATATATTATACGTAAAAGTTGAAACACGAATACACATTCGAGCATTTTTAGAAACAAAAGATTTTTAAGGCAAGGGCACATTAATGAAATAGATGAAATAGCTTTCCCTGCTACAAAAGCAGTAATCAATTCGTTTGAAAACAACAAAACAATACTAAGGTATATAACTCCATCCATCTAAAGTTTCCATTTGGAGAAAGTCTCAAATGCACCTAACAATCCCTTGGTTTTTTTCATCTCGACCAACATGTAGTATATGAATGAATGAATCATGCACGCTTGTTGCACGGAAAACTGGCAATACAATATTCAACAATGTAATTATGACCAACTTAATGCCAGAGCCTGCTGCAAAAACCTCGGTTGGGCCTTTTGCTGGAAATGATTTCTGAAAAAGAGTGGACTAACTGTCCAGCTAAGCTACTCGGATCATCAATAAGAGTCTTTATATAGGTATTGACAACCCTACGCTCCCGCTCCGTGGATCTCAAGCTAAACCAAGAAAGAAACTTTAACCTGAACTCATTCTTGATGTGACCCTCACATTCAAGCCAACGAACTGTTTTCACGCAATGCTCAAAGTTCTCGTCCAGCAGGCCTGAATTATTGTTGCTGGGGAGTACTTGGACTGGCGATTCACTACTTACCAGACCACTGTCTGAGTCCTGTGCCTCACAGGTGGTGCTAGCCGTCCTTTTCCTACTCCCCCCTACCAGTTGAGAGTCGACAGTTGTCACATCCCCATTCTGTGTGTGGGCCCAATCATGTGGCTGAGCAATGCAGTTCCCGTCATTGTCCTTCGAGATAGCATCTTCTACTAGATCAACAGTTGGTTCATCCCGAGAGGATACAGTGGTTATTAACTGACTCAACTCTTCATTCAAATCAGGGATTAATGCAACATTTAAGTCAAGCTGGCCAGAAGGGTTATTGTGGTCTTGTGCTACACACTTTGTGAAACAATTTGCCTCGGTGTGTCCCAAGTCACCAGACGCTGTATAAGACACAATCCTAAACGTGTACTCGGTGGATGGCTGCAAATTAGATATCAAAATGCTTGTCTGGCTTTTCGGAATGACACAATTAGGTTCGTTGAGGTAAGTCTCTAATCCAGCCCTACAGTACCAGATTTTGTACCCTCTGACTTCTACCGATGATGCAGCCAATGGGTCTAACAATACAATTACAACTGAAGACAGTGTCACTTCTTCAAAAAGGATTTTGCAGGCTATTGGGAGTAAGCACCCTGACAAAAAATGGCAGGAAAAATCTTCAAAATTATCGAAGAGCATATCACACATCGGGTAACAATAAAATAATAAATCAGCACATACACCTTTGGGCTACTCCTAAGTGCTGTCTCATCTTTTACCCACTGGTTCATTCAAAAGATGGGAGGTGAGGAAGGAATAAGGAGAGGAATTAGTATTTTTCTTAAATGTGAAAATATTATATTTCATAAAAAAGTCAATGAAACCAAGAAAAAACAATACCCTTTTAAATTCCCCAACTATGTGTTCTAGATCAGAAATTGTAATTAGAGTTAAAAATGTTTTCGGTGAGTTTGTCTAAGGCTTGAACCTGTAGACTAGCTGTCAAAATGTGACAAAAACGGACCCATAACCAAACCAACCGTAGATGAACAGTATAACATAATACAAAATTATTTCTTTTCCTAACTCCTCTTTGTCATGAATATCATGAGTACCTTTGTAGTTAGGCACAGCAGTATGCTTTTTGGCTAGCCAAACATCAGCTTTTGTAATGGCAAGAGAGCAAAGAGATTGCACAGCACCTGAAACAGAAAGTCTACTAACAATGCCACGTGCCATCATGGATGAAATTCCATTTACAGGGCCCACCTCTTTTTCTAGTCTTTCCTTAGCTTCTTTAACAATATCATGCAATTCTTGAAATCTGGAAGTCCCATCCAGGAGCCTGTAACTCAGATGTAGTCTAAAGCATAGGATATCCACACGACGAGCATCTTTTGCCATGGAAAGTTGCTTCTTCCAAATACTGCCAAGATCGGTAGTTACATATCAGAAGCTCAAAACATATCACAAGAAATACAATCTAGAGTTTGGCATTCAATACATCCACAGGAAAAAGAACTTGAAGTTTGATCCATGGCTCCATGCACACATGCAGAGTAATATTCAGGTAAATTTTCACAGAAAGAAGAATAATCAGATGAACTCATGTGTGTATATCTATCCACCATAAAGCATGACTGGACTCCAGTTAGAAGAAGTTCCTCTATTGTTAGTCCTCTAACTTCTTAAAAATTGTCCTATTTCATTAAGCAAGGCCAATATTTCATGTAAATGCAAAAAGGTTATGAGCATATTCAGTGTGCTGAACTTAGTTAAATAAAAAAAAAATCAGAACTAACAGAATGATTTCAGATTTTTAAGAGTTGTACCTTGTCAAATTTTAAAAGTTGTACCTTGACCAATTTTTTCCATCACTTCCAATGGAGTCAAAGACTCATTATTTTTTGGCTTGGGAATATGATGGAGTAAAGTAAAATGGCTCACTAAACTGCCCGCGCTTCTATAATATGAAGCAGCAGTCAGTCCATGTAATTTTTGACGCGGTTTTCATCCGGAAACAGTCTCTATGTGCTTCAAGTACAAGGGTAAGTCTGCGTACATCCGACCTCCTCTACCCCACCGTAGGTGGGAGCCTTTGCGACACTGGGGTAATGTTGTTGTGGTATGTTGTTGTTGTACCTTGACCAAGCATGACTATGCTTTTGGGACAGTTTAAGTAATAAGCATCATGGTGAAAAGTAAAAGGGCTTAACAAACAGAAAAAAAAATGAGAAATACTAGTATAAGAATAACCGGCTGTTACACTTCGGCAAGAACCGGCATCAAGAAGTCCTTTTCTTTAAGGACATGATCTATTCAATTTCCTCATATTGTATTCAGTGGGTCAAAATAGGAAGGGGAAAAAGAGGATTTGATTTCGCAAACAGATTGTGGATAGATGACTTACCCTAATATATCAGAAACATTACCACACGAAGCACAACAGTAGCTCCCATCAAGCTGCATTAGCTGTCCAAGATTCACAACCCCCACCTTCCCTTGTTTGACGGCACACTCAATGTGGCAAGTTAAGCCACATGACTTTCCATCACCAGGGACCCGCATGCATTCCAACCAAAGACTTGGATCCTTATTATCATCAAACAAGTGGCAAATACAGCAAGAGCACCTCTTACAGAATTTCTCATCCATTGATATACTTGCTTGACATGCAGAATTCCTGCAGATCCATGATTGAGGGAGTTTAAAATTTACAGACTGGTTGGTTGGTGGTGGTATTCGGAGAGGATTACCCCCCTTCCTTTGGTGCTTTCTTGATAGATGTTCCCTCGAGCTAGGTGATGTTGTATTTGGCTCCTGAGTCTTCTGCAATTTCTTGCTCAACTTTGAGGGTTGTTCAAACATTCTTGGACTTGAATTGAATCTTTTAGTGATAATGGACTTCTTACTGGATCACTTCAAGTTCCAACTTCCTTTGCTTTTATTTTTGAGTATCTGAAACACATAGTACTTTCCAACTTATTGGCCGACTACTGCATCAAGAATAGTATTATAAATTAAGCTTCCAAAACAAAGTAAAATAGCCTATGAGAAAGACATAGTATTGCCATTCAAAAATCAAGACTAACCTATCCATTTTTTTAGCGTTTCTCGATGCATTAGCTCCTTGTACTGAATTTATTTGAACTTTAGCATGAGTGATTTTAGGGGAGCGGATTTAATCATATGTTTATTTCTTATTACTTTTGTACCGTTTTAAAATTATAAGACTTTAATTGAATTTAATTATGCTTATATAATCTTCCTATCGGTAGATTGTTGTACAAATACACATATTTCTAATTGGACGTACAGTTATCGACTTCAATATGCTTTTCTGCTTTTAAAAGTTTATAAATATCACCACAAGTTCATATTGCTGTTTGAACACACCCTCACAAACTTCTATTAATATTTTATAATTTATTATTTACAAATGTAGGGGATGCCGATAAATCATCTAGTTTATATACCCAAATAAACTTATTCATTACTGATCAAATTAATGACTGAGTAGCTGCAATGAGCTCCCTGGGGTATAGTATCTCAATTGCCTAGGTGTAGTTCATCATGCTGTGTGTGAAAAATTAATTAGCCAGGAGCCCAGGACTTAATATTCAAGAGGAAGAGAGAGCAAGAGGTTTCTCTGGAATATTGTATTTTAAAAAAGCAAATAAATGTCGCAATTACACCAAGAAAATTAATGGTGCATGCTGAATGAAAATTTCATCTGAAGACCTTCTATGAACAGTACTATTGACTTTGCTTTTGCTGGCTGCTATAAGAATGTGTCTTCTTTCCACGCCTTTCATGAAAAAACATATACACGGTATTTAAAAATAACAAGTAAAAACTGATATCAATAAAAGCAATGCAAACACTTGACCCAAGAAGATGGCTAAAACCATTGCAGTCACATTGAAGGTAAATGCTATACAAGTGGGAAAACATTAGTAAGTAAATTACTACTGCTTGATGCAGATCAATTCACAAAGTTTGCCTGAATGTTAGGATCTCTTTAGAACATGAAGAAAACCCTGAATCCAACACCATGTCTCAAACATGAGATCTAAAGGATACAGCTAGATATAAAACAGATTTTGCATAAACAAGAACAAATAAAGTGAAACATCTGGTGGGTCATTTCTACTCACAGCCAGTCAATACAGATGATTGATGATCATGAATTATGAGATCTAGAAAAGTCGGCTGGATTGACGGAGGAACACAAAACCCTAGATGTGTGTCACGTGTAGGAAAAGATGACTGGAAATGATCAGCCTGCCTAGGGTATCAGAAAAAATCACTCTAATCCTTATCTGAGCACACTTACCAAACAAGTGACATTTCGACTCCATTCAATGAACCAATTGATACCCATCCATATGGTTTCATCTGGATCAAGAATCCAAGTTCACATCATATTGGGCTAGATTCCTAGAAAAGTGATCCACAAAATAACCCTAAGTATAATGAAATTAGCTCAACAATGTAGCAAATACCAATGCCTAAATGCATCTGGAAAACACCTTCACTATATTTCAAAGCCCGATGCAACATCAATTATCAATAGCAAGCAAGACACATTAACATCACTAGGGAAAAGAAAGGAAGATTTACACAAGCATGTTGCTATATTGACTGCGCCTACAAATGCTCTGAAGTTTTAATAGGATTGCTATGGCCTTCAATACTTAACTTGAAATGTTAACTTGGAATAATTCATGTAGCAGAGAACACAATAGAATACACAATTCTAAACATATTTAAATGAGTTAACATGAGTTAGCTGTCCTAACAATATTTGGAAAGAAAAGTAATTGAGGCATTAAACTACATGCCATTTACATCCTTTTTCCATTTACTAAAAATTAATGAGAAACAGAAATTCTGATAGCCAGCAATTATGTGATATGGTGCTTTCAGAACCATAATTAAGCTTACTTAATTTCAAATATTCTGGTCTCCCAGTGTATTTAACAGGTTATAGAGTGCCTTAATTTCTATATTTTGAAAGATCTACAGTTTCCCAATGGGAAGAGGATACTCATTGAGAATGTGATCCCATATTTACTTTCTGAATATCGGATTTGTTGCACTAGCAAAGTGTTCGATCGTTTACCATTGGGTTGTGGATTTAAATCTTGGATGTGAAAACAACAAGACATTGTTAAAGCTGCATTATGTTAACACCTCACCATCTTGCACTCTGCACACGAACTCTTTATCCTACACCTTAGGTAATGCTCAACCCCAGCCATGTTTTAGTTTTGCTGAGGAAAGGTATGGAAAATGTAAAACCTTTCCCCATGAAAAAAAATTGAGGACAAAACCCAATAAAAGATAAAATAAGAAATGAGATATTCCAATGAGGGAATGTAAGAGACTGGTCAGAGGTGTGCAGTCAAAATAGAAATTCCCTAAACTAACATTTAAACCTTCTTTATCAACAATCAATAAAACTCCAAATTTATTATGATACCTTGCGCAAAGACTGCTGAGTGGACACTCTATGAAGAGTGTGCATGACTTGTATCATGGCTTTGTACTCTGTAGACAGATACATAATCTTAAGCGTCTTTCCTGCACAGAGAAATAGGAAACCAAATGTTAATTTTCATATTCTAATTTCTAATCTCTCAAGATGCAAGTATAAGCACAACTTATAAAAACAGAAAGTCAATAAGCAGCATTAGAAAAGCAGTGTTAGGAAAGAATACACAACCATTATCTTGGTTTAGATCATCAAACACAAAAATCAAATCTAACAGTAACAATTTAAGAAAATAAAACCAAGCAACTTCGCTTCCATCATAAGGAGTCTTAAGAGATGGTAAAACAATACGAGCACGAATCTTGGTTCTCACCGTTTTAGGTCATAGATTGCATATGCAAGGCGAAGAGCCGAAGATCAGTTAAGGCTACCCTGCCTGGCACAGCAAAAAAGGGGTAAAGTTGGAGGAAACTGGCACAAACCAGCATCACATCTTCACACACACAACAAAAATCAGCTAGGGATCTTACTTAGTCACATGGCTCCTCAAAGGACCTGAAGGAGCAATCTGGAAGACCGAAAACTCTGAACACATCAAGTCATTGATTTAAATTTTGACATATATATATAGCTTGAACATCCATGGGTCATCCGGAAACAGTATCTCTGTGCTTTAGTACAGGGGTAAGACTACGTACATCCGACCCCCCTTACCCTACCGTAGGTGGGAGCCTTTGCAGCACTGGGGTAATGATAATGATATATAGCTTGAACATACCTACTTACGGAGTAATGTCACTACTACAGCTTTATTCCAATTTATTTAGTTCAATGAAGAGGCAAGAGCAGCTCGCCAAATCCCAGGTCACATCAAGAGAAATATATGCAACCTCAAAAAAATGGATGATCTAACCTTTGGGATGACATCTATCCTCCAAATCCATGCAATATCATGCAGATGAATTTGTTTACACTTGACAAGACTCTCCCTATAAAATTCAGAGATTGGTGCAGCATATCATTAGTTCATTACGCTCTCAAACTTATACAGTTTGGCATATTATTCATACGACTATGAGGCATACTGGTGCAACAAGCTAAGGAACTTTTATTACTAAATCAATTGTCTTGTAGCAACTTCAGACCCCATCAAAAACTGAATTGAACAAGTAGCATATTAGAAGAAATGAATTTGGTAAAGAATAGTAAAGATTCCTTGATCATTTTTTCCTATTTCTTCACTGAAGGCAATAAGTTTACTCAGGTCAACTAGCATTGTGCTCATAAGCTTCATTAGGATACCATCATTTAGCACGGATCCTAATCCTAATGTTTCCTGTTTGATTGAATGCAAGGGAGTATGAGTAATTGAAGTGTTAAGGGAAGTAAAGATTCCTTGTTCATTTTTTCTTATTTCTATACTGAAGGCAACGAGTTTACTCAGGTGAACTAGTATTGTGCCCATAAGCTTAATTAGGATACCTTCATTTACACGGATCTTAATCCTAACGTTTCCAGTTTGATTGGATGTAAGGCAGTATGAGTAATTGAAGTGCTAAGGGAGGAAAATGATAAGAACTTAGGATATTAAGGGTAAGGAAGGATATAGCGTAACTTTTGATACTCTTGAAACTCTTATTTTTTAAATCGCCAAACAGGGTGTAACTGTGTAAGCATAGTTAACAAGCTAGACACATGGAAACATAAAAACAATTAACAAGACACTTAAACCCTGATTAGTGATTACCCACTCATTTATTTTGTTTCTTATTACAGAGATTCTTGTTTGAACTGTTGGAATTTTTTTGTGCTTTTATATTTGACATCATTCATCAGCTGTCTTTTTGGAACTCTTTAATCTTTATTTCCATTCTTTTCAATTATTTCTTTAACCAATATATGGCTACGATAGGTATACATGTGATATAGCTATTGGAAGAGGAATAGAGCAAAATTTTTCCCCAAATTTGCATACATCATTAAGTCGAGAGGTTATTCCTATCAAACTTAATGTTTTCTTTCCTTTTTAGCTATCCCAAACAATGGAAAGTAACAATTTATGTGTATCCTTCAATTCCCTCTTGTACCCATGCTTACACTTCCAATACACACACCCTACTAATGGTTGCTTTGACAAAGAGACCATCTATTGTCTAAAATACATACATAATTTATACAAATCTAGGCGTCCCAAGTTCCTGGATTATGTATTCAATCACCCCCAAACTCATTTTCACTTTGGAATTCGAACAAATCATTCACATTCTAAAATTTACACATTCTCCAAGTCCACATTACCTTCAATTCAATCAACACAAACAATGCATATCACGCATACAGAAAGATCCTCAAATGGAAAAAAATCCACATACTGAAAAACCATAGAAATGTACCTGATTGAGAAGCTAGAAACGGAATACAGAGAATTTAGTTAGGGTTTAGGTGTGGGGGTAAACAAAAGGGAGTGATGGGTTCAAAAAAAAAAAGATTTTTCCCCTTCTTCCTCACACTCACTATGCCGTTGCAGTATAGATAGTTTAAAGCTTTGCTAATCTCCGTACGATGTCACCAAAAACGCAAGTTAAACAAGAAAACGGTTAAGGCCACATCGGCTGATTCCGAGATTATGGTGCGTGAGATTGAAGAAATTCAAACTCACCAGTGCTTCTTCTAAGAATAATATTAAAAAAAAAATCGCCTCTGCATAACTTTTTATTTATACTGTCCAAAAAGCATAAAGCGATCTTCGTTTTCTATGTACTAGTCGCCAGTTGTCGGGCGGTGAGACTGCACGTTTCTGTCACATACTACTCCGTAGTATATACGACGTACATTCGTACGGAGTTCTTCTTAGTTTCTTAACAAAAGCTACTTTCAATTCTTTCTTTCTTTTTTTCTTTTATTTGCTACAGTTTTCTATTTTATGTACTCCTTCCGTACAATTAAATTTTTCTCGTTGTAAGTCAAAAAAATTGAAATAATTACATATGATCAAAATAAAGATTTTCAAGCTCTTCGCAGAACTCTTCGACCACTTCATAATCGAGGGACTTGGTGGAGTGCTCATCATCGTAGGGGTAATACTCTTCGTCTAAGTTCTTCATCATAACACTATTACAGGCCTAACGGGAACTACTTCAGATCTAAAGTGTTTTATGACTAACACTATATCAAAGCCTAGGAAACAAAGTAGGAAAAATACAAAGAAAAACTAAGATTTATAAAAATATGACTAATGACTAGAGTAGTAATGAAATCATAGCAATTCATGTTCAAGTTTTGAGCTTAAGTTACCACAACACCACATTGTAGTAATGAATAGTCATAATAGTATTTATGTAAATATAACTTATTTTAGTAATATTCTTGTAAAAAACCCAAAAATCTTCTAGGTTGGAATTTAAAAAAGTAATAGGTAAGGAATTTTATTAGTCTGAGGCCTGAAAGATAAGATGAAATGTATCAGTATAGGACCCGAAAGATGAAAAACTATCAATCTAGGACCTAACATTTCATAGGTTTTGATTTATTTAATTTTTTATTACTTCCATTCCTAAGTTGATAGTTTTCAATCATTTGGGTCCTATATTAATAGTTTTCCATCATTCAGGTCCTATACCGAAACATTTTCTTTTTCAGATCCTGAATTGATAGTTTGTCTATCTTTCAGGTCCCGGGTTGATAAAATTCCAAGGGTAAATGAATTTTAGCCACACATGACTTTTTAAAATGAGAAATAGAAAGAATTTTTTGAGATATCAAAAAAGGTAAGTGAGAAGAATTTTAAGGGAGGGAAGGAGCATTTTAATTTTTACAAGATTTTTTATTTTCACGAGTTTTTCTATCAAAATACTTAATTATTTTTACTTTTTCTAATCTTTCATCTTCTAAGGATTCTAGTTACTCCCTCCGTCCTATTTTATCTGTCTTACATCCCTTCTTAGGTTGTCCCAAAATAAGTTTCACATTTCTCTTTTTGAAAAGAAAATATGTGATTCACAATATTTCACTTTATTATACTCAAATCTCAACCACAACTTTTACTTTTTTAACCACTTTATTAAAAATTGTGCCAAAACCAAATAAAATACATAAAATGGAACGGAGGTAGTACATAGTATTTCTATCTGGTGGCGGGACAAACTCATATTTGCTATTATTGTCTTGTTGGCAGATGGTGAAACAAATTTATTTGTTTATTTATATCGCAAAGTAGTTTTAGTATTATTTTTAGTCTTGATTATTGGTTTACTTGCATGAGCGCGCTTTTATATTGATAAAAGAGTCTGCATCTTTACGTAGTTAACGAATTGTTATGTTTTTTTGAAACTTTTTAGTTCTATGTCTCATCCCATGGTAATTTTAAGCTATCTGAACTGCTTTTGCACTGATCATTTTTATTATTAATAAATAAGGTTTTTTCATTCGAAAAATATAGGGGTTTTGACCTGAATATTATTAAAAAGTAGATCAAAGACAAAAAAAAGATCTTTTTAGATTTCCAAAAATATATTCTCTCCGTCCCGCAAAATAGTTCTCAGTTTCTTTTTTGGGCCGTCCCAAAAAATAGTTCTCATTTCCCTTTTTGGAAAGTTTTTTGTGGCTACCATTCATTTACCTTTTTCTTACTCAACCACAACCATACATTTCCACTTTATTCTCACTTTCTTAAACTCCGATCCAAGTTAGGATATTTTTACTTGGACTGTAATTCGTCCCAGACCAGACCAGACCAGATCAGACTTGGATAGTTATAAAAATACAAAGAAACCAGACCAGACCAGACTAGACCAGTTCAGACCAGACCAGACCAGACTTGGATAGTTATAAAAATACAAAGAAACCAGACCAGACCAGACCAGACCAGTTCAGACCAGACAAGACCAGACCAGATAAGACCAGACCAGACCAGCAAATTATAGTCCAAGTAAAAACATCCTTAATGCGGGAACTATTTTATGGGACGAAGGAAGTAACTATTAAGCAGTAAGTTTACTAAATTATCCTCACCCCTAATCTCCATTGACACAACCAGAGTGCCGCCTCCAGCGACGCCACTGCCCCGTCCAGGGACACCGCCGTCCCGTCCAGTGATACCACCACCCGGTCAGTGACATCGTCACCCTGACTAGTGACGCTGCTAATAGAATATTATTAGGAATATTGTTTCCTAGTTTGTGTTAAATTCTTTTATTATAAATATACAGGCCAGGAATCCTATAGGAGGACCTTTTCCCAAATTCTCACATGGTATCAAGAGCCAAACCTATCTAAAAATTCCCAATTTTTCGTTCGGCATGTCTACTGAACAACTCTCCGCCGCCGCACAAGCATCTTCTGCGCAGCCTTCCTCTTCGGTTGTTACATCGCAGGCCATGGCGTCGAGCACCTTCTCAGTGCCGAAAATCACTCTGCCTCCGGTCATCTCAGTCGTGCCGCTTTCTTCCTCACCCACTGTTGCTACGGACAACCCTCCACCGGCACCGCCAGGTCATGCGCGGCACTCCTCTTTACTGCTGCAACCACACTTTTCCATGACGCAACCATTCAACCGTTATTCTGGTGGGCCTCAATTCTCCCTGTTTGACACACTACCGACACAATTTCCGTGGCAACAGACTAGTCACGATCCGCCAGTCAGCACTCCGTTCTGCGTGGGACAGCCCTCCCCTACCCCTTTTTATGGTCCCTCATTCGCTGGGTCCCCAGGGGTTATTCAGCCACCTACGGATAATATTTTGTTTGGATCGTCTATGGCTGCTTTAGCGCAATCTGTCTCTCATGGCATCGTCAATGTCAGCCAAATTGTCACTATTAAACTTAAAGCGGATGAGGACTATCTCACTTAGCGCACACAATTTGAATCTTTTCTGGTGTCTCAGGATCTCTCTGGCATAGTTGATGGCTCAATTCAGGTACCTCCCATGTATACCATGAATTTTAATAATCAACAAATTGTTAATACGGACTATTATCATTGGCTCCGAGTGGATTAAGTAATTAGATCTTGGTTGTTTGCTACTCTTTCTCGCGATGTATTAACCGATGTTCATGATCTTAAACATTCATTTGGTATATGGGAGCGGTTACAATCATGATTTATGTCTGTCAGTTTACCCAGAGCCATGGAACTCAAACGTTTATTGTCTAATACTAAAAAGGAGCCCAATCAATCCATGGAGCATTATTTACGTAAACTTAAAAATCTGGCTGATGCTTTAGCAGCGATTAACTCACATGTGACTTACAGAGAATTACTAAAAAGCATGCTCCTTGGATTAGGCCCTGAATATCAATTTGTTATGGGGGGGCACCATCTCTTTGTTTCCTGAGAGTTTTCCCCCTGATGTACTCCACCCATGCCTCATGGAAGCCGAGCAGCAGCTTTTGCACCGACAGTCCCATGAAAATTCTTCTCCTCACCAAGCCTTTGGGGCTCAAGTGGGGGCTGGGCAGCCGGGTCAGGCGGCTGCTTACCATGGCCGCAGAGGCGGACGAGGCCATAGGGGTCGCGGCAGAGGACGGAATCAGCAGCAACAACCCTATGCACCTCAGGCGCAATACCACCAGCCGGGGCCAAGACCTGCATGGGGTGTATATGCACCAAGACCTCCTAATGATGCATCTGGTAAATCTGTCTTGTCCATTTTAAATATTAATGCTACATTTACTTCTGGTACTCATTGTAATTCTGCAGGTTTCTCATCAGCTGAGGGTATTCTTGGTTCTGTCCCTCCCTTAGTTGTATGTCAAATATGTTTCTCTGCAGGTCACTCTGCATTGCACGTTCATCTCGCTTTTCACAGACCTCTGCACCTGCTTTGATTACTCCAAGTGGGGAATCAAACGATGCTTTATTGTATTCGGACTCGGGTGCTTCTGCTCACATGACATCTTCAGAAGGTATTTTGTCAAATAAATTCCCTTACTCTGGCTCCATGACTGTTAGTGTTGCGAATGGTACTACTCTTCCCATTGCTAATATTGGAAATATTACATTAAATACACTCAGTCGCCCGTTGTCTTTGAAATCTGTTTTTCATGTGCCTCAGATTAAATTTAATTTCCATTCAAAAATTATGTGCTGATAACAACTGTGTTGCTGTTTTTGATAAAAATTATTTTTTGTTAAGGACAAAACCTCGGGGGCAGTTCTTCTTCAGGCGCATCATAATGGTCATCTCTACCCCAGCAACCTCACTCCATTTGCACCTTTAGCTTTAGCTTCCATCAGCTCTTCTGGCCCTGTGTGGCATCGTAGATTAGGGCATTGTGGTGAAACTATCTTGCGCTTGTTACTTCGTAGAAAAGTTATTTCTAGTTCGTCTACTTTTGAACATGATTGTATTTCTTGTCGTTTGGGTAAATCTCAACGATTACCTTTTTCGGATGCTAGCCATAATTCTTTTGCACCATTACAATTAATTTATTCTGATGTTTGCCAATCACATATTTTTATCTAATTTAGGATTTAAATATTACGTGTGCTTTATTGATGATTTTTCTCGGTTTACTTGGATATATCCCTTGCGTGCTAAACATGAAGTTTCTCATCAGTTTAGACTATTTAAAACTTTAGTTGAAAATTTGTTTATGTCTAAAATTAAAATGTTCCAAAGTGATGGAGGGGGTGAGTTTGTTAATTCTCATATGCAACAATTTTTCTGCTGAAAACGACATTTATTTTCAAAAGTCCTGCCCAAATACTCCTCAACAAAACGGTGTTGTTGAACGCAAACATCGTCATCTTTTAGAATTTGCTAGGACTATGCTCATCACATCCTCTATTCCTAGCACCTTTTGGGTTGATGCTATTTTTACAGCTGCATATATAATTAACAGGCTTCCTACTCCGACTCTTAATGGCGTTTCTCCATATGATATTCTTTTTCAAAAACCTCGTGACTATAGCTTATTACGTGTTTTTGGGTGTGCTTTTTATCCAAATTTTTCTGCCTCTTCTTCTAATAAACTTTCTCCTCGCTCCATCCAATGTGTTTTTCTTGGCTATGCATCCGGTTACAAAGGATATCGTTGTTTTGAGCCCATGTCTGGTAAAGTTTATATTAGTAGACATGTTCGTTTTCATGAAAATATATTTTCATATGCCACATTGTCTTCTTCTACGGATAACACTTCCTCTTTCTCTCCTCCTTCTGCTAATGACTTTACTCTCACCAACACCAACTCCCATTCCCATCTTCCCCAACCCACTGCCCTCCTTGAACCCGCTAGCCATGAGGTACCTCAAAATTCTAGTCCAGCCGTGACCTCTCCATCACCATCCGTGCACTGCCACTCACCCGTCAATCCCAATGCCCCACTGAATGAACCTCTAGCCACCACTACCCCCACTCCTTCACCTGTCCCTCCCACCGCCCCACCGAATGAACCTCCAACCACTGCCCCCCCCCCCCCCCCCCGAGCCTTCGTCTGCCATACCCACGGCTGCAATGCAGCTGCTACATGTTAGTCACGGACCCGTAGTCAATAATCATCACATGTAGACGGGGGCGAAGTTGAGAATTTTTAAACCAAAAACAAATTTTTAATTTAAATAATGTTATTTTATTAGCTAATCCTTCCTGTTTTTCTGAGGCTAATAAACAGTTAAAATGACGTGAAGCAATGACTGAGGAATTTAATGCTCTTATTTCTAATAAAAGTTGGGATTTAGTGCCATTTGATAATACTAAAAATGTAGTGGGATCTAAGTGGATTTATAAGACTAAGTATAATTCTGATGGTTCCATTAAGCGCCATAAAGCACGTCTGGTTGCTCAAGGTTTTAATCAACATGTCAGTGTAGATTTTTCTGAAACTTTTAGTCCAGTCATCAAACCCACCACTGTTCGTATTGTTCTTACATTAGCTATCTCTTTTGGGTGAGTCATTCGTCAATTGGATCTCAAGAATGCCTTTTTGCATGGTTACCTCACAGAGGAAGTTTATATGCGTCAGCCTCGGGGTTTCATCCATCCTTTGTTTCCTAATCATTTATGTAGATTGCGAAAAACTATTTATGGTCTTAAGCAAGCCCCGAGGGCATGGTTTCATCGTTTTAGTAGTTTTCTCTGTTCCAGTTACAGTTCCAGTTAAGCTTTTTTGTGATAACATCTCTGCTTCATATTTGACTGCAAATCCAATTCAGCATGCTCGTAGCAAGCATATCCAGATAGATTATCATTTTGTCAGAGAACGTGTGGCGCATGGAGATTTAGTTGTTAAGTACATCCCTACACAATTGCAATTAACTGACATTTTTACTAAAAGTCTTTCTAATCACCAGTTTCACTTTTTAAAAAACAACCCGCGCGTTGTATCTCCCAAACAGTTTGAGTTTGAGGGGATGTAATACAATATTATTAAGAATATTGTTTATGGGAGGACCTTTACCCAAATTCTCGCAACTGGCCCCACGCCAGTGACCACCACATCGTCCATACACCACCCAATCCTTAAATCCTTAGACATCGCGACCGCCGTTACAGTTCCAAAGGTTAGCTTCTTCGATTCACAGATTTGAAATGCAACTCACCATCTTCCTGAAACTAAAATAAATCAAGTCACGAGCAGAGGAAGGAGAAGAAGACGAACTCAAGCTAGTCATTCAATCCAGACGAGGTTGGAGTCATCGTCAATGGAGTCTCACCACCATTGTTGGAGCTTGGTGCAGCGCAGTCACCATCATCACCATCGTAGAGATCCATCATCGTCGCACACTAGTTCGTGCGAGGTACTGTCGTCGAAGAGTTCCATCGATATTTCCATGTCGCTATCATTGACGTCGATGTCACATCTGTCAATACTTATCCATCATCATGTTCGTTGTGGCTGAGGAATGTTAATGGAGATGAAGAAAGGAGGACCTGTAATGCAAGAGAAAGGGGCAGCGTGAAGCAGAGAAGATGGAAACCTAATAAATTAACTCTAGGGGTAGTTTAGTCAATTAAACCATACATGAGTACCTTTTCTGTCCAAATCATGTTTCACTCATATTTCCGTCCATTACAACCGTAGGAGTAATACTTTCGTCTTTATTTCAAAAATATATTTCATCTTCTATTTAGTATTTTTTTCATTTCTTATATTGTTTCTACACTTTTCACCCTAGTTAGTTAAATATGGTATGAAAATCAAACGAGGTTCAATACGTACATGCGTTCTATTCGGTAACGTGATTTCAAGAAATGGTCAAAAATTCGTTGGAAAAACGTTGAATTTTAAAAACGTGTAAACATTGTATGATGCGGTGTCTGTTATAAAAATTTGATAAAAAAACGGATCTTATTTTGAACATTTCAATTATATTTGTTTTTTGAGAAAGAACATTTAAATTATATATATATATATATATATATATATATATCACAAAACAATATATAGTAAACAAAAATAAAATTATACACATATTCAAATAGCAAATCTCATTACTACACCGAAGAATAATTCATAATTGTATAAGTCAATGATAAGAAAAGAAATAATAATTAAGTCAAAGACATAATTCGACAAAAATGATGTAAAAAAATAACGCATAATAACTATAGAATGAGATCGAGTTAACATGACATCATCATCTTCATCAAATAACACTCAAACTAAACTCGTCATCTTCATCAAGACGGATTACGTGCGAGAATTGTAAGCTGTGTGGTTGCTACGTACGTTTATTATTGTTTATGTATAGAAGTTTATACTAGAAAAACAACAAATTTAGAAAACCCTTAATTTTGAGACGTTGTTTGAAAAAACGTAAGAAATCCAATACTATTTTAAGTTTAGTCTTTTAGATTTTAGCTTTAGCAGTCATGCATTTATTTAACTATTTAATTAAAAATTGTACATTTTGTCTTGCTACAATACAAAAACATGGGGATACTCGAAGGGGGTTCTATTTTGCAGTTAAACTATATATTTATGTTCCCCGTATTTAAAACATTCATTCAATTTTCAACTCATGTTTATATTTTTTGTTAAATACGAGGAATTTACTATTTATTCCCTTTTTATTCGTATAGCACGGGGAGCAATTTTTTTTCCTTTTTAAATGGACTGATCTTATTTTTTGTTTGAAACATGTATTTTTATTCAAAAAAAAAAATGATACATGTTTAAAACGCGAAAAAGCTAACTAGGCTTTTCACTACTCCTACTATTTTACCTTTAATTTTTGTGAAAAGGCTAATGTAACAAACATAGGGGTACAGAGGGAATAAAATATTTTCATTTTGGGTTCGGTTCAAGCCATAAAATAGTCGATTCGTGTTTTTTTATTTCTAGAAATGAAATGAGCAACCATTTGTGTTTTTGCATGTTGTGAGTTTTTTAATAACAGTTAATTTTAGTGATTGAAATTAAAAGATTTAAGAAAATGTTTTAGCTATTTGATAAAAGATGTTATGTTTGGTATAATAATTTATTGTGACTAATTAATATTAAAATTTATAGACTTTCTCCTGGAGCATCTCCGATCCATTGATGTTTTTTCAAAATTACTTTTATAGATTCTGCATCATGCACCTTATGCATATTGTTATGCATTACACTTTAATTTGCACTTTAAATTCTCAACTCGGTATAAATTAGTGCATTGTAGTAATATTATACTATTCTCAAACAAGTTGGACGTAATCAAGATATTTTTTATTTTTAAGTATAAAAATAATATATCAAAAGTGCACAATTTGAAGTGTATGAGACACATATGATGAAATTCACAATATGCAATATAGTACTCATCATGCAAATTTATAAGCGTCATAAAGATGTAAAAATCACAACTACATTAAAAGTGCATAATTATATGCTACGTTAAAAATTAATGTTTATTGGAATAATATAATGTCAAGATTGAAAATAAATAAGAGAGCATATATATGATGATTAAAGAGCATGAAGAAAAATAAAAAAAAATATTAAAAAAAAATACTTGGTACTTAAAGGCAAACCATCAGACAAAAGAAAGAGTAAAATGAAAAAAAAAACTTCACCTAAAGTCACCAATAAAAATTTTAAGCCATAAAACATAAATATGACAAAGAAATAATAAATAAACAAATAAAATAACCAAACATTCCAGCCCAGCTGGTTGTGAGGTTATCGTAGTTAGTGGGAGGTCTCGAGTTCGAAACCCGCTAGGCACATAAGGGTTTGAAACTCAATGGAATGAGTTTCAGCCCTGATTACTCCAGGCTCCCCCAGCCCCCTCCCCCAGACCCTTCTGAAGTAAAAAAAAACAAATAAACTCAAAAGAAGGTTAATTAGTGTACCACCAAACAACTAAAGCAGTGCCTAAAATTTCAGAACTTAGTAGCACTGATGAATTAGGAAATTATCTAACGATCCTTATTTATTCTTATTTCTCTCCTAAATGTTTTCTCATTTGAACACACACACACATACATGGATTTAATTTGGATTCAACTGAAAAATGAATCGAATGTGAGAAATGAGAATTAATTTCAACAATTTACGATGTTGCATCAAAAATAGCTTCATGTTGCAGTAGGATTTAAATTTTGTAATGATACACTAAAATGTTTAATGTTGCACTAAAATTTGAAGATGTTGCGCCAAAACAGTTTCATGTTGCACTAAACAAATGTAATACGGATTTTTCAGAAGAATTTAAGAAAATGCCACCATGCTATGTTGCATATTTCAGTGCAACATGAAGTTTTTTTACTGCAATATAGTCGAATCCAACGACTGAGATTCATTCACGTTTGTCACCTAGTGAGAATAATTCTTCATGTGACAAATGAGAATGATGCAACACAGTCCACATCTTGATTTTTATGAAGTCACACATTCTTGGTTAAAATAATGCTCACATCGCAACAGTAAAAAAAGTTTATTTACAATAATGTTACCATTTGTTTGCATTAATCGTAGTGCACATTTCAATTTCAGAAAACACACCATTCTCAAATCTAACACTTGAGATTAACTCTTATTTATCTCTTGAAATCATTTTTTATTTGATTCAAATTCGCTCTCAATATACACATATATAATAAATAATTTTGTCATTCCTATAGAGTTTTGGATTACAAAATATGGTATTGTCATGATTTTCAAAAATCACTAGCCCGTATGTTTGCTTTCTTTTACGGAGTAACTATCAAAAAATCACTACCCTGTGTCTTGAATCATTCCACTGTAGTAACTGTCTGAAAAAAACATTAGACGACGGACGTTCCTTCTGCGGCTTGATTGGTACAAGAAGTGATATAAAATACTGTCAAATGGATAACTTTGATTAGCATGAAATTGAAACATACTTTTTATCCTAAATAGGAGCAAACCAATGTCAAATTTCACAAAATAAGTGATAGGTTTTCCATCAATAAATAAAAGTAACTTATGTTAGAGCATCTTCGATGGTTACAATTAGGGACTTGCTTGCATTTTTTAGCCTACCATTAGAATGCATTTTTCTTCTAGCTTGGGTAAGCAAATTAGCCAATATAAACTACTTGCATGAATGGAGGTAAGTTTGAACTAAAATGGTAATTACCACATTGATTTAATTTATTGAGTAATTAATATAATACATTAATTAAAATCCAACTATGAAGCTTCAATGTTGAAATGCAACGGTAAAGCCCCAAAACTTGCTTTGTATTTTTTAAAAAATGTTTAATTTTCTCAAGTTGATATTTTTCAATTTCTATGTGTTGTTAATATTTTCTATTTTTGTTTTTATGTTAACAAAATGCCTACTTTTTGTAATTTTGTACATATTTTAAAAATATGCCTTTTCATATTACCCTGATATAATAATAATAACGCCGATTATTTATGGGTTAAAATATCAATGAAATTTTCCCAATTTAAAATGTCTTCAGATCGAAAGAAGTATTATTTTTATTGTATTAAAAAAATAATTCATTAAAAATGTATACTTTCAAAGTTGGTTAAGTCAAGAGGAAACACTTATAGCTATCATTGGAGTTCACAAACAAAACTACAACGGAGTGTTTGGTAAGAAGCCTATTAGTTATGTTTTGACTGATTTGACCACTATTTAGCTTTTTGACTGGAAAAATAGTTAATAGGAGTGTTTGGTTAGATGACATTTTCGCTTGGCTTTTATTCCCAAACGGCCAAAAAAAAAGGCTAATAAAACTAGCTTTTAGTTTCAATTCTATCGTGAATTCTTGTTCTGCCCGCAAGCAAGTTATTCTGACTCCCTGCCAAGCTGTTATTCTCCCCTCACATTAATATTCATTTGGATTTATCTGTCAAAGTAGGAAGCTAATTTAAAGGAATAAGAATGGGACTTGTGGGGTTTTTGAGAAAGTTAAAAATAGCTTGTCAATCACTTGTGTTTAACACATTTAAAACGAATGAGAATGGGATTTGCACGTGTTTACAAATAATGTTGGAATCAATTGTTACTCGTATCAATAAAATTTTATTTAAATCAACCGTTTAATCAAACGTTGTTTTATAAATAACTAATACTATCAGCTAATCAAAATAATTAACGGAATCTGTAGTTACCAATTAGCCAGCGGAATCGGCTAACAGCCAATAACCAATAACCAATTGCCAAACGCCCCAATGTATGACCATTGTAGATGTTCATAATTTGGTAATTCTGTCAAATATGATATTAATATTGTCAATCAAAATAGAATTACCATAAAAACCGGCTGCTACGCATTCATGTATTATCCCCACCCAAGTACCAATCCAGCCGATATCAATCGTAAACCTGTACAACCAACCCACCACATGAAATTGATAATAATTCGGTTAATAATTTGTTAATTGGACTGAAATTCTCTAGTCTGAATGGATATGCTATAGTTAGGTTAGTTTAAATATGATCTAATCTGGTATGATATGGTATGGTTAGTTTGTTCTATTTGTATTTTATAATTGTCAAAGTATGACTTGATCTTATCTGTTTATTCTGGCCTAGTTTGATCTTTTTAATTCGGACATGATTTGAGACCGAATATAGTCCAAGTAAAAACATCATTTCATGCATATTCATTTGAATTAATCCTATACTATGTATTTGTTTTTCAAATTAATAGTTTAAAAGTCTATTTGGTAATATTGAAAAAACTTAAACCGACTGAATCTTCTGTCATGGTTGAAATAGTGAATGAAATGAATGAACTGACTAAATTTGTTGAATTAAAAATAAAATACTTCATAAACGATATGAAGTATATTTTATTAATAAAGTAAAGATAAAGTTATAAGATTTTTTCAATCCAAGACTTGAAATATATGCTAGCTATCAAGTAAGAATTTAGAAGATGAAAATATAAATCCAAGATCCAAGTGACTAAAAACTATTAATCTAAGACGTAAAATGTAATGAACTTTGATTATTTTACTGTAATTAGTTTTTAGTATTATTTCATTTGTTAAAGTTTGTTAAACTTTTGTGAAGAAAAATTCAAAGAAAATTAGTATAAATAATTAAAAAAAAAAATATGCATGACTATTTAAATGTGTACAAGATTTTTTTAATCATTCATGCTCTGAATTGATATAATTTAATATTCCATTCCCTACTCAAATCATTTGGGTCTTTTAAAAATTTCAAAATTATATGAAAATAAAGTTAAAATAGTCTCACTCAATAAGGTCAACCATTAAATTGTATCCAATCTTTTATATATATATATAACTTGATCAATTACTTAGCTCGATCAATGCACAAAATAAAAAGTTCATGCCCTATAGAAAATTGAAAAACTATATTTCCAAAGGGCATCTAAATTGATATATAGTCGAATTATTCTTATATCACCACCACAACAACGTCGTCATCATCATCATTATTGTTACTATCATTATCATCATCATCATCATTATCATTAGTAATATTATTCTTATCATTATTATTAGTATTATTATTACTATTATTACTATTATTACTACTACTATTATTATTATTATTAATAATAATAATAATAATTATTATTATTATTATTATTATGTTTCAAAATATAAAGATGAACTTACTTATTCATATGATCGTTGTCATTCCAGCCAACTAATTGCATTGAGAAAAGCATCGTCGCGGTGGCGAAAACAAAGTGAAGGAACCCATACCCATATGGGACATCATCGCCTTGGCGTTGCTCATTCGGTCGTCTTAGCTGCATATATGCATTTTTTAATCTGCTTTTGAATTATAATAATAATGAAATTAATAATTTTTTTAGAATCGATCGAAGCACGCACCAGAAAACGTTTTGAATTGATGCCTGTTGAAAAAGTCGATATCACAATTGCAAGGAAAGCCACAACAAAGCTCTAAAAGTCGCATCAAAAAATGCATTTAATTAGCTAGGTTTCATATAATGGAGAATGCCAAGGAATTTTGAACTGAAATGATATTATTAATTTGAAAGTAAATCTTTGAACTATATTAATTCAGTGAGTCATTAGCCAACTGGATAATAATACAAGAAGGACAATATATTGGTGACATGATTACATTGTGAAACTAGAGAACTAAAAATGAGCATTTGCATACATGAAAGGAATTAAATCTACAGTTTTCTCAAAATTGTACATATAATTAATGATCCTCTAATTTACTTAGTCATTAGTTGTTGAGTTTTTTAATACACATATATATCCGGGGGCATGGGCCTTTGCGGGGACGTAGCTAGGTGGGCCAACCCAGGCCCCGACCAACCTTAATTTTCACTATTGTTTAAATATTTAAGGTAAACAAAATCGCGCAAAAAGTTTCCAAAAATATTTTTTGTACCGGTTTATCACTTCAATGTACCATCCTGCCTCCGTCACTAGGCCCTTGTAAACTAGTGGGTCTTAGCTCAAAAACCACTATTACAATATTACCCATGCATGCTCAGGATGGGCCGTGGGCATGATTTCCTCAAGTAAAATTTAGTTCATCTTTTGTAATATTGATTTTTTTTGCAAATTAAATTCTTAAATGTTCTAGCATTTGTGAACATTTGGGAAGGTCTTGGTTGGGAAGGACATTTGGTCTGGTCATAAATGTGTGTGTTGAAGAGGGTGTGTATTATATTCACTCCATTGGGTTCCTGTGGGAGGGGGCTGAGGGGCCTGGAGTAATCAGGGTTGAAACTCACTCCATTGAGTTTCAAACCCTTTATGTGCCTAGCGGGTTTTGAACTCGAGACCTCTCACTAGTCACGGTAACCTCCCAACTAGCTGGGCTGGAATGCTTGGTTAGGAAAATAAGATAATCATATAATCATATTTTAGAAAAATTCAAAATAACACCACACATACAAAAAAAAAAAGATAAAACAGATCATTAAGAGGATGTTAATTATGGTTAAGTTGTAATATTACATTGATGGTGAGCCAATCCAATTTCGAAGCAGCACTTCCACCCTTTAACATGCATCTTTCTTGAGGTATACTGCAAGAATTAAATTCCGATTAATATATTGGACTATAAAAGCGAAGCTAGAGGCACACTTAATTGTAAAGTAATTGCAAGTAAAGCATACTCCCTTTTCCTAAATAGGACTCGAAGATACATCTCTCTAAATAAGACTAAACATTTTTTCTACCTTTAATATCCTAATCTAATTAATAAATATCACCATTGTTCTAAAACTCGCTAGGCGCAGTCGGGCGTTTAGGGGTGCCTAACGCCTAGGCGGTCGACTAGGCCGATTAATCCTCTGTAGTAAGGGCTGACTAGGTTGATTAGGCCGATTAATCGATCGGACTAGGACAATTTTAGAACAGTGATACAACTAATTGGCCCCTAATTCCCTTGCATAAACGGGTGAGTCCGTTGGTGGCGAGACTGTTTGGTGGCAGAGCTCCGTCGAATGACAGCGGCGGCGCTAGACTGAGAGAAAAATTGTCACAGGTCAACATAAAGATTATATACAAGTTGTACTGTAACATCCTTTGTAATGAATTTTATATCTAGCTAACTCTAAAGGTAAAGATTTGAAGCTAAAAAGGATTCACGTCGATCACTAGATCATACCCCATAGAAATAATAACATTAAGGAGTATGTAATTAAAATAAAGACGATATCTTTGGAGTGTAATTGATTCGAATGTCTAGAAATGTAACATGAGAAAATGTAGCATCAAGATGTATTTGGTTCAAGTTAATGAAGAATTCTTACAACACACTTAAAGAACAACTACATAATTATGTCATTTGCTCTACCAATTGCCAAAATTTTTGTTTGCACGAGGGGAGTATATTATATGCTCTTTAATGCATCTTAGTCAACCCCTATATTATTTAGAGTTATACTACCTCCGTCCCGCTATGATTGTCCCATTTTACCTTATTGGTTCATCCCACTAAGTTTGTCTCATATCAAATTTGGCAAAGTTTCTGTGGCTCTAAATCATTCTTACTTTATTTTAACTTTATCAATTCAATATCAACCACATAAACCTCTTTTTATTGATTTGCGTGTCACTCATTCTTGTCCCATTGTTAGCGAGACGGAGGGAGTACTAAATAATTAATGCTCTTTCTGCAAAATCTGATCAGTTCAAGCTAGTGTAGGTGGCGCCTGTACTGTACCTAGGCCGAGCGTAGGCTCGTGGGACTGATCGGGAGCATCACTAGGCTGGTCCTTCCCTTTGTGCCACTTGGCATGGTTCATGGCGCTCACCTCCTTTCCTGATTCCCGGCATAGACCTTTCGGGCTCGGCCATTACATTGGTCTCATTCGGCTTGCGATTGGTGCTCGACATCAATGGTCCTTGTGCATTTGGGAGACAAGGCATGAGGTGGCTTAGTGATGTTGGGCCGGTCGTCGTCCTCACGGCCCAATATCCCAATAAGTAATTTTAGGAAACACTTCACTCGTTCAAGAGTTAAAACTAAATAAAAGATCATAAGACATGACATGTTTAATGAAGATGTAAAATTTGACCTTTTGAGTGTGCTCCAACAGATGTATTCAACATAAAGTGCCATTAAAGAAGCATTCATATACCAAGCTTCCACCTGGACCACCTGTTTAATTTTCATATCATATGGCATCAATTAAAAGCTAGAGCTGACAAAGCTTGAAATAAATGATCAAGAAAAAAGATAAAAAATTAAATATTACACTTACTTTAGAAGAACGATATGCAAAACCCCCCATGATTATGAAGATTAGGATAGTTCCACATAGAATGAAAACGACTATTGGACAAGACCGGTGTGGTGCATACCAAATGAACATAAAGATGATCAGTATAAGGACCAGGATGAGCGGGATGGTTCCCAATAACATTTTATAAGTGAAACTCCATTTCGACTTGTTAGAGTAGCACCAGTTACTTAGCCATGTGATGCAACTCATTATACTAATAAGTTGGATGGCTAAAAAAAGCCTGCAAAATAACATATAAATTAAAGCCATGAATTAATCTTCTGATCTGTTACTTTTTTAGGAGGAAATCATATCCCAATTCTTAATAAGTTAAGATGGTATAAGAATTGTCCTTTGGGAAAAATACTCTAATATTACTAAAACTCATGACTTTTCCAAGAATAATGGTTTTAACCATAGATATGACTAAATTAAACATCACATACATGACCGCTGGAATTATTATAATAAGAAACAGATAATGCTCTTTTACATAGAACTAATTCCTTTTTTGGATGAAAGGTAATTTATTAAACACCCAAAAATAATATAATACAATGTATCAAAGCTATCAAGACTAGTAAAAAAACTATCAAAAATAACATCTAACCATTCAAACCCCCCACCCACCCCTTTGGGGAGGTGAGTGGGGGTGAGAATTTTATGATGAAAGTCCCAACGGCACGTGACAGGCCCCGTCTCGTATCCAAAATAAACATCAAAGGTAAAAACTACCTGCCTCGCTGTCCGCATAGCCCAAGGATTCCGAGACATTAAAGTACCATCCTCCAAGTGGATCAACTCCAGCGGCCTAGTTAACTGCTCAGCAGTATCACAAACAGCTCCGCATAACCCAGGCTCCACTGAGCAGCCCAATCGAACCCAAGCAGTGGACCAAGTCTCAAGTAACCAAGGAGAGGAGGCCCAGCAGCTTCCAAAGTATCCACAGCAAGTCCAGAAGTCACAGCCCAAGTCCACAACCACCCAAGCAGGCTAGGGTTAGCTGCAAACCGGGTCAGCCCCAAACCCTTCCATCGGTTAGGAGATGCGCCGCACAATTGAGCGGCAAAGCAAGCACCCCGAACCCACCAGGCCTCCCACCCCACCCCCACCACCCCATCTGAGTTCCAGCATCCCCCAAACAGTCAGGTGGCCGAAGAAGAGGGCACGTAACCAGCCGGAGAAAAACCAAGCCCATCGTAAATCCACTTGCCACCCCTGCCCCCGTCGAGCCCCGGCAGCCCCCGACGGCGTCGGCAGAAGGCATTGAGCAGCGATGAACAGTAGCCCGAAATGTGACGAGCACCACGAACAAGAAAGCATCCAACCCAGTGCATCCCCGCCGAAGTACGAAATCTGAACCCAAACTCCGGTAGGTAGTCCCACCGTTCTTGTCACACTCCCCGTGAGGCCCAGGACCCCTTCCGCGCAGCTACGGGCTTCTTGGGCACCACCCCACACCTGTAGAATTCCACTACAACCATTCCAACCCAGCGCCCGACCATTATAGCCCTCTACTGCGGACGCCGGAGACCTTCGTCCTGGAAGAGTGTGGGGGGCATAAGAACGGGACGGTGACCAGTTCGCAAGGCTCCAATGCGAACCAGCCCTCAATCAAACCAACTCCGGAACCTCAGACCGGTGAATGCGCAAAGCATTAGCCACACCGACGCTACTAACCTGGGGATCAGGTTTTCACTGAGGGCTGCCAAGGGAGGGTGGTACCAGAAAGAAACTCCGGCCAACTGTCTCTTTCACCTCCCCAGACGGCGGAGTACGCCAACAACAAATGGTGGCCAAGGGCCATGGAGGACCACTCTGTTTAGTTTGCCGGAGTGATCATAGGCTTGGTTAGATCGAGAAAGAGATAGAGAGGGAGTGAGCCGGGGGGACAAAGGTTGTACATACCGTTGTTAAAGCAGTCTGCCTGCACCACACATCTCACCGGAAAGGTCATCCACCATTAGTCACACCATCGAAAAACAGGAATCCGGCCATTGCTCGTTCCCCACCGTTGCCCCCCCCCCCCCCCCCCCCCTCAAGGTAACACCCGGCCACCCGGGGCTACTAACCGCGAGTTAGGGAGTCCCAAATTCCGGCGAACCTCAAGCAGTCAACCAGTCCAAAGAGATCTAAGCTTCAACAAACCTTACCTTCATTATACCAGACCTTCAAACGAGACCGCCGAGCAGAGATCCTTCAGTGTAGCCCGACCATCCTCCACCCAAACTTCCAATAGAGACCAGTTCTTCTTCGTCCCAGCCCCCCAACCAGCGTCCGAAGTTACTAGCAGCCCTTCTTGTTAGAGTGTGCAGATTCCGGCGAGATTCCACCGGACGAACCAGAGCCACGAGCAGTTCACGAGCCTTCCCCAGAAACCCAACCATCGGAGTGGTGAGACTACTGTTGGTGATTTTAGGGTCACATCCCATTCTGTGTAATCAGAAATGACATGAGTGAGTGTCAAGAGGATTAGAATTGTGTTCTAATGCAAGCTAGGAGTTGTGGAGTGCACACTTGTATATAAGAACGGGTTCTATTCTAAAGTGTCTATGGCAGTAGAACTCATGGTAGAACACTCAGTAGACTAACTCTGTGGTTCTAGACCGAGGTCTAGAGCGGTTAGACAGTTTTGTGTAGTTTTCCAAAAACCGCCACGGTTATTCTCAAACGTTTGTAACTGCCTGGGACGTGTAATATGGATATATATCACCATATTTCATATAGAAAAGGAAGAGAGAAGATATACAACATATCTTGATCACTTTTTGCATTCAAATTAAGATAACAATCCATATAGTCACTAGTTTGGCTCTAGTTCTTGTGCCTAAGTTCTAGAGTATCCTTAAGGATTATCCTAGATTCAATTTCTTATAACCCAAGCATAGGGGAGAAAAATCAATTCGGAAAGTGAACTTACATGATGCTTAAGCAATCCAAGTACTCGATTATCACCCCCTATACACACGAACTGTTGAGTATGTTGTTTTGTTGATGACTAACCATGCAGGTGGAACGACGAACATAATCGCTCACAATTCCTTACGGAACAAAGGACAGAACTATCCTCAGGACCAAATGGATATTATTAGCGTGTTGTTGACTAACCATACATAACTAATGCAGAACGATTTCTAATTCTGTGATATGATTTGAATTAATTGCACCTACTTGATTTTCAATTAATATACTTTCCTTATATGAGTGCTGTTGAGGGTAAGTCTTGTAGATCCGAAAGCCCAACACGAACTTTGGATATATCAGGAATGGCCCAGAATCAAGGTGTACGAGAAAATATAAGATCTGAACTAACTAAAACTCGAAAGCTCACTTGTATTAATTAACCAATCTGATTACAAGGGATTTCCCGATCGATAAGTCGGAAATTATGCCTTAATACAAGAAATAAGAGCAAATGATGCTATTCTAGAGCTTGAGTATTGAAATGCTAACCCTTACAATGACTTGAAACTTTCTATTTATACTAATGGAGAGCATGGGCTGCCTCTTGCTGATTGGCCGTTGTTCCACCGACTTGGTCATCCATGCTTCCACTTGCTGATGTCACAGTCTGGCATTAACTGCACTTGGCCACTTGCTGGTTGGCCGTTGCTCGAACGGGATGTTGGTCCATACCGAAGAAGCTGTCAACTTGGCCCAAGTATAGTAAATAGTCCGAACCTCGTTCGGTATGTCTTCTTATTGGGCCAACCTTTATTTGGGCCGAACCCCGTTCGGTATATGTCTCCTTACCGGATCTTCTCATCATAGAGTGATGGGCCTGTTACTTGGGCCGGATATCTTGGGCCTTCCCGATCTGGGTATTGGGCCTCTAGGTCAATATCCCAACACAAGTCCCCCACTTCCGATGTCTCGAACGAAGTGAGTGCATCAGGAAGTATACCAATGTCGAATGGCGATCGGGGTACAGAAGTAGCCAGTTCCCCATGCTGCGATTTGACGGCTGCCGCTTCATTTCCCCATATTCATCATGATAACCGTCGTTTAGTCTTTTCATTAGACGCGTGTCTAGCTTAAATGCCCCTAGTGATGTGTCGCTCTCTGATTGGCTCTCGACACGACGGTTTCAAGGCTATAAATTAACCCTTAATTCCTCAATTCCGGGTTTTCGACTCTGCAATTCCTTGACCTTCGTTGTTTTCTCTGCAAATTTCCCTCTGCTTTCCTTGCTCAGGTAACTTCCCAACCTTGGATTCCCCACCTTCATTTCTGGCTTCGATCGAGATGAGCCTCACAGAGCATTCTTCTGATTCGGAGATGGCCTCTCACGGGGATGACCGTGACACCACCATGATACACGCCATCCCAGTTCCGTTTGCCGGTGTTTCTACCGAGATGGCGACGAATACCAGGGCTGAGGCGGAGGACCTCTCTAGCACTTCTTCTTCCTCTAGTGAGGATTCTGACGACACCAAGTCTGAGGACGAATTGGCCTCCATGGCGGCCGGACGTCCCAACGATGTTCCTCGCCATACTCTTGACCTAAAATTGATTAGGGAGAGGAGGCAAAAATTGACCTCTCACAATAGGGCCGAAATCCCGGCCCTTATCCCTGACCCGGTGGATTTCCGTTTGCAAGCCGGGCTTCATCCGATGCGTCATAGGCCCGGAATGACCATAGTCCACTTTGACTCAATTAGGGCCGGCCTTAGATTTCCGCTACACCCTTTCTTTATTTCTTTCTTCAATTTCTACGAAATTGTACCGGCCCAGATTATGCCGAACTCTTATCGGGCAATGGCGGGTTTCATTTGTCGTTGCAAAGATGCCGGCGCCCGACCAACCTTAGAACTCTTCCACTAGTTTTTCAAAGTAGCCCCCCAACAAACTCATGGCTATCTGGCCACTAGTGCTCGAACGGGACACATCTTGTTCAAAGGAAACCCAACTTCGATCAAAGGGTGGAAAGATCGGTTTTTCTTCGTGTCCATCCCGGACGGTCTGATTCCCCGCAAGTGGAATGCTTTTCCCCGCAAGACCCCTGATCCTGTCCTGACTGAAGAAATCTACAAGGACGTGCTCGCTGTGGAGAAGGATAAATGCATGGACATCATGAATTATCTCACCCCCGAACGACTTATAACAGCCGGGATAGGTATTGCCCGTTCTCTTGGGTTTACTTGTTTTGATAAACCAAGTGCCTTGGTCCGGGCGGTCCTTCCCGTGCGAGAAACGTTACTTTATTCTTTTTTATTTAGTTTCTCACACGCAAGGGCCGCTCGATACTAACACTGTTCTTTGCCTTTTTTCAGCACCCAACCCAGATCTTCTCATGGATGATAGCAGAATCATCACAGCCGGTGGGGGCGGAAAACGGAAAAAATCCCGGAAGAACCCCCAACCTACTCCCAACATCGTTCCCGCTCAGGAGGCTGCCCCTTCTCAATCGCTCTCAGAACCTCAGCCAATTCAGCAGGTCCACCAAGATCAAATAGAGGCCATGCTGCTTGATGATCGGTTTGGTTCTGACCAACTGCACCAATTTTCCCAGCATTTCGACTCCGTTCGGGGGGAATCCTCGAATGTTGGTGAGACACATATCGACCACATTACGGGTCAGGTCGAGCGGATCTCCCTATCCGACCCTGTTCACGAGGTTTTAGAGAGGGCTGGATCTACTGCGAGCCAGATCTGGTCTACCTCCTCCTGGTTTAACAACTTTTCCCTCCCTCAGTTGCCGGTCGAGCAATCTGAGGAATGTTTGGCTCTGACTGCTCTGAAGGTGCGTTGTCTCTTGTGTTTTGTCTTTACTTTATTCCCCGTAACCAGTACTAATCTTCGAACGGCATTCTGTAGATGGGTTTGTACACCCTTCAGATGCGGGAGGCCCGCCTGGCCAAGGAGCGGGAACTGATCGTTGCTCAGTCTTCTGCTGAGCAACATGCTGCTGCTGCCATCGCCTCTCTGGAGGCCGAACGGAAAGCCTTTGCGGAGGAAAGGCAGAGGCTGGACGCTGAACTTGGTACCCTCCGGGTCCAACTTGCAGCTTCCCAGGCGAAGGTCCTTGCCGCTGAGGCTGCCCAGGTCAAATTTGAAGAGATGCCATCCAGCATCCCGGACAGTCCTTATGAAGTGAGCGTGGATCTGTCCGCCGTCCGGGATACGTTTAAATCCTCTGATGAATTCTATCAAGGATGAACACGCAAGGGTCCAGATCCCGTTCGCCTTTGGGGCGTATTTAAAGGGTTTTCCCAAAGGCGCCGGCCGGCTATCGGCAGGGGTGGCCCTCTTGGATAAGGACCCGGAGGCCAAAAAATGGAATGATTCCATTGTCTCCGATCTTTATGGCAAAATTGGCCAGGTCTTGTTGCGTCCCTTCGTCACTCAGCTTCAAACTCAATTGGGGAGGCCGGTTCAGGCTTCTGATCTCCCCTCAGATGATATTATCCAGGCGCAGTTTGAGAAATTTCTGCGAGCCCAACAACGGGAAGCTGATCGAGCTGCGGGAAAAGAGCCTGAACCCCCGTCTGATGATGATGAGGATGAAGATGAAGAGGGAGATGAAATGGCCCACGATCAATAATTCATATGTATTGTAATTCTTGTTTTAATTTCCTTTTTTCCTAGCCTGTATTTCCCGATCAGTAGTACCGATGAATATATATCCCTTTTTGCCTGAAACTTGGCGTACTGTCTTTTCTGTTTTTAATGCATGATTTACTCGCCATTCGGGATTCGGCCTATCTTGCTCAAATAATCCTAACGCCGTTGATCGTCGTTCGGGCATTAGAAAGTTCTGATGATTTAAGGAAAAAACCCCTTCCCCCTGGTACTCAGCCGTTCGGGCTTCATACCGAATTTTAGGACTTGGCACATTCTTGCTTCAGATAATCTCTTACAACTTGATAGCCGGTCGGGCTTCAGGTCAACTTTTAGGACTTAGCAGTTTTCTTCCAGATAACCTTTTACAATACTGTTGGCCGGTTGGGCTTCAGGCTGACATTTAGGACTTAGCATTTTTTCCCAGATAACCTTTTACAATACTGTTGGCCGGTCGGGCTTCAGGCTGATATTTAGGGCTTAGCATTTTCTTCCTGAACCTTTTACAATACTGTTGGCCGGTCGGGCTTCAGGCTGACATTTAGGACTTAGCATTTTCTTCCTGACTTTTAGCATTTTTCTAAACAGCAAGCCCCTGTGATCTTTGCTAATCCTCTGTAAGCCCGTCCGGGGTACGTGCATAAAAAATGAATCATAAATGCCCCAAATTAATCGTAACCACCCAATGCCACGTGTTGCTCCTGGATTAGGGATTTGTGCGGTACTTTCCCTACTTATAGGGAGGTGCTTCCCCTAATTTCTCCTGCTGTTTTCTCACTTTTCTTTCGAGCTTTCTCTCTCTAGAATTCCTTTGCATACTCTCAAGCCTTCTCTCTCTAGAGTTCCCAAATTTCCTCCAGCGTTTTTATGTACTACTCCTCTAGCTCAGAATCTGAAGAGATGCCTTTAATTCGTAAGAGCAAAACATCCGCTGGTAATCAGGCCGAAGGCTCTTCGTCCCAAACACCCAAACCTGCCAATACTCAGGTCAGCAAACCTATCGAACAGCCGCAGGAGGACGGATGCCTGTCGGGAGATGACCTTCAGGTTTATAACAAGGGGATGCCCGAACGGCCACCCCGCATTGCCCTACACTTCAATCGCATACGCAAACACAAACAACGTCTCCCAGAAGATGTTGAACGGCAACTTAGCCAGTTGTTGCCCCCACCAAGAGAATACTATGCCGGATTCATTCGGCATCCTATGAGGCACAGACCGGGGCACGTGCTAGTGCATCTCGATGCCCTGACTGCTGGACTTCGGTTCCCTCTCCACTCATTCATAGTGAAGTTCTTACGCCGGGTTGCTGTACTGCCCGCTCAGTTCGTGCCCAGCACCTACCGGATTCTGACAGGCTTCATTATCCGGTGCCACGAGTTGAGGATCACCCCGAGCGTCGATCTATTTCTTTATCATTACTGCTATCAGCCGTACTGGACGACCGGGTACTTGAAGCTGGTAGCCCGTTCTGACCGTCAGCTGTTCACAGAGAACGTTACCCCGCAGGCTGACTGGGAAGAGCGGTTTTTGTTCGTTCGAGTAGGTGATTCTTTGCCATTCCCGGACCGGTGGAACGCATATCCCGTCCGGGATTCCCTGCCCAGGGTGGATGCCGTTCTACGCTCCCAGGCTGAGTCTCTGCGAATGGGAGGGACCAGAAGTCTTCGCAGCTTTGTCACTGCCTCGAGCATGTTATCTGCTGGAATTGGTAAGCATAGTAGGGTTTTAACCCGATCATCCTTCGCTCTCGCAATTCAACTTTCTTATTTTTTATTTCTCTTTCTTGTAGGTGTGATCTCTCCCATACCCGTCCGGCGTTCCATCTCTTCTGCTAAAGGGAAAGAGAAGATGATAGCCGATCGTGATTCGGCGGGGCAAACCCGAAAAAAGCGCAAAGGAAATGATGGCGATCATCTGATCCCGATCGACCATGTGGTTGACTTGACCGGGCCGGAGGTTGAGCCCAAAGGTTCAGTACCTGCCAACAGACCAACTCCGGTTCTTACTGCCACACCGATCGATGATCGGATGTTTGTTGAGTTCTCAAATATGGGGCCCAGATCGGAAGGGAGGTATCTGTTCGGGTTGATGCCATCTTCTATGTGGTGTCATACCGCGATCAAAGTTCCCCCGAGCTTCACTAACTTGACTCACTGGTCGGACCTTTTTGAAGCAGGTCACCAGGAAGCACTTAAGGTATATTTCAGTCCGTCCCATACCTTTCTGTTATTTATGTTCTACCTTTTCTGACCTTCATTGTAACCTTGTTTTCAGGCTGGCGTGTATTATCACAAAGCCTTTCTTGCCGCGGAGAAGGAGATGAAAGCCCTGGCCAGTGATCGGGATGACATCCAGGTCCTCCTCTCCGCCGCTCGGAAGTTAGCGACCGACCTCCAAGAGCAGGCCAAAGAGGGTGAGAAGGCAAAAGCTGCTTTGGCCGAGATGCAGGAGATGACCCGTCGTCGCGATCGGGAGCTCAAAGAACTCCGGGCCAAGGTGCGGGCTGCTGAATCTGCTGGCATTAAATTTGATAAGGCTGTCGGAGATCATCTGCCCGAACCCTACACGGTCAATACCTCTCAGATTGCTCAGCAATCGGTAGTGGATTTCCAACGGGGCAAGGCGCTGAACCTCGCTCCGGAGAATACGGCCCGGCAATTCCTAGGTCCTCACCTTGGCCAATTTTTGCGTGAGAGCTCAGATCCCATCAAGGCAGGGATCGACCTCCTGGATAGCACGCCGGAAGAGAAATCTTTCTTGGATGTCCTGACCGAGAAAACTGTTAAGCAAAGTCAGGACCTGCTTCTGGATAGGAATCTTGAACTGATCTTAGAGCGTTTCCCCAAGCCGTTCGATCCTGATGAACTAGGCTTCGATGATCTGTTCGGGAATACGTATGATCGCGTTATGGAGAAAAGATCCAAAGCAGCGCCTGACGATGCAGTGCAGGCAGGGAGCTCTCAGCCTACATCCTCCCCGAACGGCGATCATCCATTAATGTAGCCTTTCCTTATCTGTTGTCTTCTTTCTTGTATATTTGTTTTTGTATATTCCGGCTAGTAACGCCGAAGAGTAAACTGGAATTTTTTCCTTTGTCTGTTGCACTTTTTCTGGCCCTTTGATTTTTTGTCCACAATCTTTTCTACGTGGCCGAACCTCACTCGGCTTATGTATTTTTATATCTGACCTTTTCCGGACCCGTTTTGATCCCTTTTCCTATTCGTGATGCACGGGTTCAAAACTCTCAGCTGAGGTGAATTCCTCCAAGCCGTTTTGATCGTGACCACAGGGTCAAACTCTCGGCTGGGATAGGGGCTCCCTCCAAACTGTTCTGACACCTTCCCGAACCCGTTTTGATCCCTTTTCCTGTTCGTGACGCACGGGTTCAAAACTCTTTAGCTGAGGTGAATTCCTCCAAGCCGTTTTGATCGTGATCACAGGGTCAAACTCTCGGCTGAGAAAGGGGCTCCCTCCAAACTGTTAACCCGTTCGTCATTCGGTCATCCAGAATGATTTCATGCGTTAACAAGCTGAGGTGAGACTCTCTTCATAATTGTTCTGACACCTTCCCGAACCCGTTTTGATCCCTTTTCCTGTTCGTGACGCACGGGTTCAAAACTCTTTAGCTGAGGTGAATTCCTCCAAGCCATTTTGATCGTGATCACAGGGTCAAACTCTCGGCTGAGATAGGGGCTCCCTCCAAACTGTTAACCCGTTCGTCATTCGGTCATCCAGAATGATTTCATGCGTTAACAAGCTGAGGTGAGACTCTCTCCTTCCAAACCCATAATTCCGATGCATTCCGAACTGTTTTCTCTGGCTCGTATCATCCATATTAGGGGTCTGAGGTAACCCTTTTTCGAACTGTAAGCAAGATCACCGAAGTTGGGTCATTTCTTACTTATAGCTAAAAGGGCGACTAACTTCCAAGTCACGTTTTATGACTGAGGCGAGATTTTTCAAAACCATAGTTCCGATTCCCCGGACGACAATCCGTACCTTATCCGAACGTCGCTCGGTTAATCCATATCTTACCGTCTTGACACCATCTCCAAGCCGTTTTGATCCCTTTGCCCGTACGTAATTACAGGGTCGACTTTGGCTAAGTTGACGACTCAGCTCCCTCCAAGCTGTTAACCCGTTCGTCATTCGGTCGTCCAGAATGATTCTACGTGTTAACAAGCTGAGGTGAGAATCACTGTCCTTCGAACTCCAGGCCATTTTGATCCCTTCATCAATGCGTAATTACAGGGTCAAAACTCTTGCTGAAATGTATGGCTCCCTCCAAACTGCTAATATGTTCGTCATTCGGTTTTCCAGAATCGATTCTCATATTAACCGCTGAGGTGAGACTATCTGAGCGTCAAACTCCCAGTCGTTTGGCTGAGAATGACCTTCCTTCCATGGAATTAACCCGTTCGTCATTCGGTCATCCGGAATGATTGAGTTAACCATGGGCACTGATTTTCTGAGCCTCAATTCTTCAAGCCATTTTTGATCCCTTTATTCTTACATAATTCTAGGGTCAAAAACTCTCTAAACTGAGAATTGATTTTTCTTCCATGGAATTAACCCGTTCGTCATTCGGTCATCCGGAATGATCGAGTTAACCATGGGCACCGATTTTCTGAGCCTCAATTCTTCAAGCCGTTTTTGATCCCTTTATTCTTTCGTAATTCTAGGGTCAAAAACTCTCTAAACTGAGAATTGATTTTCCTTCCATGTTGTTAACCCGTTCGTCATCCGGTTATCCGGAATGATCGAGTTAACCATGGGCTGAGTTTGTGGAAGTTGTGTCTCCCTCTTTTTTTTAGAGGTGGCAACAGCCGTTTTTACTGATAAAATCTCCTCAGATGCTCTACATTCCAGGTTCCTTCCGGTCGGCCTTCAGTATTTTGTAGGCCAAACGTTCCTGAAGCATACTTTTTACATACTTGGTAAGGGCCTTCCCAATTTTGTGCCATTTTGCCCCCTTCGAGCGGTTTGCTTTTCTCTCTCTTTCTTAGTACCAGGTCTCCTACCTCAATTGAACGAACTCTAACCTGCTTATCGAAGTATCTTCTTGTGGCTCTGTGATACTCTTCCATTCGTGCCGCTGCCAGATCCCTTCTTTCTTCTACGAAATGCAATTCGGCCCGTAAGTTATCTTCATTCTGTTCTGGGCTGTAATGCACCGTTCGGTGTGTGGGAACCAGGATCTCTGTTGGTACTTTGGCTTGAAAATCATAGGCAAGGGCAAATGGAGTCTCTCCCGTGGCCGTTCGGGGTGTGGTCCTGTAAGTCCATAGAATGTAATTCAACTGATCAGGCCACGACGAGGAGTATTCTTCCAGCTTCTTCTTCATGCCATCCATGATGGTTCGGTTCATATTTTCTACCTGGCCATTTGCCTGAGGGTATGCGACGGATGCTCTGGAATGCTTGATCCCCCATTTGACCAGATAGTTCTCAAAATTCCGGCTCACGAACTGCCTTCCATTTTCAGTTATAATCTGTTCAGGGATTCCGAACCGGCAAATGATATTTTTCTAGACAAACTTCTGGCATTTTACATCTGTGATGCTGGCCAGTGGCTCGGCCTCTACCCATTTAGTGAAGTAATCTATCCCCACAATGATGTATTTGTTGTTTCCGGGTGCAGTAGGTAGAGGACCTAACAGGTCTATTCCCCATCTTGCGAATGGAAGGGCCACCGTCATTGGAGTGTAGAAAGTGGCAGGCCGTCCGGGAACCGGTGCGTATAATTGGCATACCTTACATTTCCTGGTATGCGCGAAGCAGTCCTGTTGGATAGTTGGCCAATAATATCCTTGCAAGATGATTTTTCTGGCCAGCGTCTTGGGCCCTTGGTGACTGGAACAGATACCCTCATGAATCTCTTCCATTACAGCCGCCGCCAGACCGGGTGGGAGGCATTTCAGATACGGTCCCCCAAATGTCTTTTTGTACAGCTGCCCGTCCACTAATTCGAACATGGAAGCCCTCCTCTGGATGCATTTTATTTGATAAGCAGGATTTTTATCTTGCGGGAGGGTTCCGTCTTTTAGGTAGTTGGTCATATCCACGACCCAGCTCGGGATGGCATAAGATACGGCCTCGATCTGGAGAACCATTATTGCTGGGGTTGCCAATGTTTCCCGATGGGCAAATCGTTGGATATGAGCCGGGATCACCTGTGCCCGATCGTCAAACGCTGCATGTTCTAATTTGGACAGGATATCTGCTTCAGTATTTTCGATTCTGGATATCTGGTCGAGCACCACCTGTTCAAATTTACGTATCTGCTCCTCGACCATTTCCTTGTATGCCTTCATCCTTTCTTCTTTGGCCTCAGCCGTGCCGTTCACTTGATGTACCACCAGTTGACTGTCCGATCTTACTTTTAACCGATCGGCGCCCAGGGCCCTTGCATACTTTAAACCAGCAATGAGAGCCTCATATTCAGCCTCATTGTTGGTCACCTTGAAATCAAAATGAATGGAATAATACGCTTTGAACCCCTCGGGCGATGTGATCACAGCTCCAGCTCCACAACCTTTGGCACTAGATGCTCCATCCACGTACATTTCCCACCAATTATCCAGCCCGTTGTTCTCTGAATCTTTTTCTGAGGGCCGGGCGGTACATTCTGCAATGAAATCTGCCAGGGCCTGCCCTTTGATAGTAGGCCGGGGTTTGAAATCTACCTCGTACTGCCCGATCAGGAGACTTCACTTGGTAATGCGCCCACTTGCCATAGGATTTCTCAAGATGGTGGATAATGGTTGGGTAGTATATACAGTTACCGGGTGGGTTTGGAAATACGGGGCCAGGCGTTTAATGGCAGCTATCAGGGCCAGTATATTCTTTTCTAGCAAGGTGTACCTGGTTTCCGGGCCGTTCAACGCCTTGCTCACAAAATATATTGGCCGTTGAACGCCATCTTCTTCTTTCAGCAGAACCGTGCTTACGGCCAAGTCGGCTACAGCCAGGTACATATACAGATGTTCCCCTGGTTCGGGCTTTGTCAAGACCAGGGGGGAAGACAGATATGTCTTGAAATCCTCAAAGGCCGTTTGGCATTCGGCCATCCACTCGAAAGGGTTGGCTTTCTTCATGATTTGGAAAAACGGGATAGCTCGATCGGCCAGTTTTGATAGGAATCTGCTCAGGGCTGCTAGCCGACCGGTCAATCTTTGTACTTCCTTGAGATTCCTCGGGGGCTCCATGTCCACAATGGCCTTTACTTTTTCTGGATTGGGCTCAATCCCCTTCTCGCTCATCATGTACCCCAAAAATTTGCCTCCTCTTACAGCAAACGCGCATTTCTTGGGATTGAGCCTCATATTCGCCCTTTGCATTATCCCGAACACCTTTTCTATGTCCAGGACATGGTTTTCCTTCTTTTTGCTCTTGATCAGGATGTCATCAACGTAGGCTTCCATTGTGACACCCAGTACATCTTTAAACAGCATCCCGATCATCCTCTGGAAGGTTGCCATCGCGTTCTTTAATCCGAATGGCATGACGATGTAGCAGAACACGCCATCCGAAGTAACAAACGCCGTTTTCTCTGCATCGGCCGGGTGCATGAATATCTGATGATAACCTCGGAAAGCATCCATGAAGCTCAGTAACTCGCACCCAGCAGTCTCATCCACTAGCAGATCGATCCTCGGTACTGGGTAGGGATCCATGGGGCATGCTTTATTGAGATCGGAGTAATCCACGCACATTCTCCAGGTAGATTGCTTTGGGGCTAGAACCACATTGGATAGCCATTCTACGTGGATTACCGGACGGATATGCTTTATCCTCAGCAAAGTGGCCACTTCCTTCTTGGTGAATTCCCGCCGTTCGGTCGCTTGGTATCGTTT